AGGAGAGCCTACGAGCTGATCAAGTCGGCCAAGGTGGGGAAGTCGGAGCTGGACCCCTGGGAAAGCTTCAGCCCCGACCTGTTTGTCCTGTGCGCGGAGCAGGCCCTCAAGGTGACGAACCCGCCCAGGACCAGGACGGCGTCAGACGGGAGGGGGCACCGCGTTCTGGGGCCTGGACGCTGGGGAGGGCGGCAGCCCCTGGGGAGGGTCCCGGCAGGGTGGAGGCGGGATCCCTCCGTGGGCCTGATCTCAAGCGGGCTCCCCCTTGTCCCTGGTGCCCACGGGGTCGGTGTTTGCAGATGGGGCGGCCCGAGGTGAGCGCCGACTGCGTCCAGATGTACTTCAAGGTCAAGGGGCCCGTCACCCAGTTCCTGGGCCGAGCGCACCTGTGCCGGGCCCAGCTGTGCGCCCCGCAGTCCACCGACCACCTGGTGAGCCGCGTCCCGCCCCTCCCCACCGTCCTCTTCTCCCGGCTCCAGGTGTCGGGAGAAAGCCGTAAAGTAAGCGACCAAGGCCATCTTCACAGGGACGTGCAACTGGCACCGCTTCCTGTTAGGGTCCTGCCCAGGCAGTGGAAGCCGACGTGTCCTGTGTCAGTGACCACGGGTCTTTGCGGCCTGCGCCCCGCCTGAGCAGGGCAGTTTCCGGCCCTTACAGCTGTTCACAGCCGGGCGGGCCAGCCTGGCGTGAGGCCAGCTTGCAGGGAAGTGGTGGTGAGCGGGCACGGGTGTTTCTGATTTAACCGAGAACGCTTTACCCTGTTTAGGAGGAATTTGAAAACTGCGTGACTCAGTACCTGAAGGCTATAAACTTTGCGAAAGGAGAACCGAGGTGGGCACCGTCCAACGGGCCTTTCTGATGGGCTGTGTGGAGGGGTCAGAGCCGGGCTTGACCCCGCCTCCGTGGGGACGGGAGTGGGGAGGCCTGACCTCAAACCAGAGGCTCTGAGGTCAGTGGGTGTCTCCAAAGGGAGCCGTGAGCGCCCCCGGGAGAAGCCTGGTCCACGCTGCATTCCGGGGGTCTCGGGGCAGCCGTGGTCGGGCCCGTGGGTGACGGGGAGCCCTGGACGGCTGTCAGAGGCGCCTTCAGGGGGAGGCCTGGTTGCTCCGTGGGGGGCTGGGGGAGGAGCTGAGCAGAGAGAGGCGGCCCAGGGGCGTCCCGGTGGCGGGAGAGAAGGAGCCCGCTTGAGGGCGTGCGGGAGTTAGGGGAGAGCAGCTGCCGGGGGAGGATAAGTCCCTTTCTGGTGTGGGTGACACAGCAGGCTGCCCGGGCCCTGGGAGCCACCTCTCTGGCGCGGGAGCCCCTCCAGGCTGGAAGACTCTGGTCGGGACACCTGGGCTTCCCCTCCTCTCCTGGAAAAGCTGGGAGAGATGAGAGGGGTCTCTGGGTCATGCTGTGGCTCCCCGTAAACTCCCTGAGGGGATGTGGGACCAGGCGGGACACCAGCAGGCACCCGCGGCCCTGCAGGGCAGAGCTGCCGTGATCCCCCTCCACACACACGCCCTTCATGGCACCCTGCTGCCTGCCCAGGGGAGAAGCCCAGACTCCCAGGAGGCGCCTCTGCTCACTTCTCCAGCCCCTCGTCCACTTCACCTGGATGCTGGGAGGCTTTGTCCCTGAAGTTTCTCTCCTGGTCATTTTCAGCCAGGGCAGGATGTCTCCTCCTCCAGGAAGCCTTCCTGGATTCCCTCGTCCTTGCCCATTCTTGTCTGTCTCTTGAGAGGCAAAGGAGGCCTTGCTCAGTGCTGTATTTTCACGGGGTCTGATCAGCGGGCGGGATGACTGACTAAGAGGCCGTGGTCCGCACTCGGGAGCCTGTGGCCGGGTCCTTGCAGCCGGGGCTGAGCTGGAGCCACGGGCACACTCGCAGTGAGGCCGGCACAGCTGTTCGGGAAATGGCTCTGTGCCTGGTGCTCACGCAGGTGCGGCCCGAGCTGCTCAGCCGTGGCTGCTGCCATCTGCTGGACACGGGGAGGAATGTGCTCCGCGGGGGCCTCCGAGGGAAAGAGGACGCCGGGTTTCGCAGCTCAGGCCTCCTCTCCTTGGGCCGCAGGTATTACTTCCTGGTGTATAACGCCTCAGTGCTCTACTGGCAAATGGCGCGGCCCTTTCTCAAGCCCGGACACCGCCACCACCTGATCCCCAGCCTCTCCCAGATCGTGAACGTGCTGACTCAGATCGAGGACGAGGACAAGGAGTGGCGAGCCGAGCTGATGCTGTGAGCCGGGTGGCCCTGCCCTTCCCGGGTGGGCCAAGTGGCGTGTCCGGACTCAAAGCAGGGGAAACGGGGTCCTGGGTTTAACATCCTGGTTCAGTAAATTCGTAATGTGGCAGACACTCGAGCGAGAGAAAACCAAGCCAGAGCGAGTAGGCAGGTCCAGGAGCCCGGGCGGCCCCCAGTAGCGGGGCTGTGGGGGCAGCCAGGGCAGGGCAGTGGCTGCTGGAGCCTCAGCCCTGAGAAGCCACCACCAGCGCCGTCAGCGGATGCCGCTGGTCACAGTGCGGGGGGACTGACGGTCTCCGTCAGAGCTGTCCCGTGTTTGGGTCGCTCTCTGCGCAGGCCAGTGCTGGGTGAGTGTTCACACCAAGGGTCCTCACTGTGCCAGCGCCACACAATCCGCACTCAAGTCCGGGTCCAGAGTCTGTAGGCTTTGGCTGCCGGCTTTACAGCCACTGGGGAACCTTTAAAAGAAACTAAGTGCAAACAAGACCTTTCTTTAAAATGTCGTTTTCAGGCCAGGCTTGGTGGTTCACACCTGTAGTCCCAGCACTGTGGGAGGCTGAGGTGGGAGGATCGCTTGAGGCCAGGAGTTTAAGACCAGCCTGGGCAGCATAGTGAGACCCCCTCTCTACAAAATATAAATAAAAATAAGTAAAATATCATTTTTAAATGTCCTGGGAAATTAAAAGGCCAATAATTTCCTCTCCTGCTGCTAGGGACAGCAAGCTTTCCTGGCTCCTGCTGGCCTTCCCTGGTGAGACGCTGCTCCCAGGCTATTTTTCTGAAGTTGATGAAATGTAAAAATTATAAAAGTATAATAACTTGGTTATTACACGTTTGCAGCAGAAAACAATTTCAACAAGGTTTAATATCAACCCTATTATCTAGGGAACTTCTTGAGTGTTATCTGCAAGCTGGAAGAAAGGAGGAGGCTGCTAAGTTCTGTTCCACCGCGGCGCCGTTCATAAAATCAAATGTGCCACAGAAATACCGACAGATATTCTCTCTTATGGTAAGCTGACATATGAAAATATACAGATATAAGAAGTAATTTGCTTAAAAGTCAGTGCTCAGTAAACTATGCATAAAAACTGCAACCAAGTCCATTAACTGAGAGAGATAAAAACACACATGAACAAAGCAAATATAAACAGAATAGCACTTCATCCTATGGGAAGACATATATAACCATGATATTTTGAAAACAAAACAAGATCTTTTGCCTTTATTGTTACTCTTTGAATATTTCCTTTGTAACAGCATTGGTTTTTTAAAAAATTAATACAAAATTTATAAAGCTACAAGTAATTACTAAAATACAAGAATGTGTATGAAAAACATTCATCAGCTATTCGTTTTTATGTACAAGGAATGAGCTTAAGCTATATCTGAAAAAGCTAAATATAACAATGAAAAGATACATGTTAATTACAGATATTGATTATAGGAGAAATATTTACAAAATAATATCTAGACACAAAATCTAGGTATCTAGCTATTGCTTGAATCCAAATTAATATTCTGTTCCGTTTTATGACAGGTTCGTCATGAATTAATGGATGAACTTCAGTTAAAAGAAGAAAAGAAAAATTCCGTCAGCCTTTCAGTTTCCTTCCTCATTAATACGCTACAAGGGTAAGTAGCTTGGGGAGGGCGAGCGGGTTGAGTGTCCTGAGTGCGAGCTCAGGAGGACTATTCCTTGCACCTGGGCACGCCTGCAGGTGAGGCCGTTTGGGGTTGCAGGGAGCTGGCCTGGGAGGTGGGGCCTGGGAGGCATCGGGCCGCCTGTGAAAGCTGGGCCACCGGCGGGGGTGCAGCTTCTAAGCCAAGTGAAAGAGTGGCTCCAGGAGAAGAAAGTCACCAACAGTGTCAGATTCCTCTGAGAGGTCATGCCAGATAAGTGTGCATTTGACCATGACAGTGCAGAAAACGAGCGGTTTATAGGAAAACCCTCACCCAGCGGGTTAATGAACGGGGAAGGATTGTTACCAGGAGTGGAGACAGGACTCCTGAAAGTTCCCTGTGCCGGGCAGGAGACCTGCAATGGCAGCTGCAGGGAATTAGGATGGTGGAGAGCAGTGTGTTTGCAGGGAGTGGGGAGGTGACAGTGTGAGTGCTGAGGGGAGTGAGGAGGTGACAGTGTGAGGGCTGAGGGGAGTGGGGAGGTGACAGTGTGAGGGCTGAGGGGAGTGAGGTGACAGTGTGAGCGCTGAGGGGAGTGGGGAGGTGACAGTGTGAGGGCTGAGGGGAGTGGGGAGGTGACAGTGTGAGGGCTGAGGGGAGTGAGGAGGTGACTTTGTGAGGGCTTAGGGGAGTGAGTAGGTGACAGTGTGTGAGGGCTGAGGGGAGTGAGGAGGTGACAGTGTGTCAGTGCTGAGGGAAGTCGGGAGGTGACAGTGTGAGGGCTGAGGGGAGTCAGGAGGTGACTGTGTGAGGATTGGGGAGTGAGGTGACAGGGCTCAGGGGAGAGAGGAGATGACAGTGTGTTTCAGTGGAGTGGGGAGGTGACAGGGTTTGAGGGCTGATGGGACTGTGGCGATGACAGTTTTTAAGGGCTGAGGGGAGTCAGGTGACGATAGTGTTGAGGGTGGAGGACACTCAAGAGCTGGCAGTGTGTTTGGTGATGAGGGGTATGACGACACCTGGGTGTTTATGTGCCAAGATCATTCTGACGAGAGTGGGACGCTGACCACAGGTCCTAGAGCAGATGGGAGGAGAGCGGCCGTGATTTCCATGGAAGGGTCCCTAGTTGGTCCTGTGTCTGGGGGAAGGGTGTGTGCCAATCTTCCTGGGTGACGTTTTTATGATGCAGCTGGAGTGAGGGAGGGTGAGGTAGTGTGACAACGTGTCTGGGACATTTGAGGAGACAAAGGACAGGGATTATTTTAGCCCTTCTTTTCAGTGGGAAACAATTTCCTAGACTCTCTTTGGATAAATTGAATAAACGTAATAGGATCTTTGATTATTTTGCATTTGAATTAATTCTAGAAAAATGGATAAAAATGAATTACCAGAAGATGTCGACAGTATTCTGAAAATGGCCTATAGACATTTAAGTTATTACAATCACCAACGCTTTCCTTCAATCAGAGAAGAAAAGTAAGTGTTTACGTTTTTCCAGCACAGATTTACATGTATGTAATCTTTGTGCAAGATTTAGCAAGTATTGGGGAATGTGGAAAAATATAAACACAATCGACTAGAACCACTTTAGCAAAAGTCAGCTGTGTGGATGTTTTAGTACATTTCCTTCTCATCTTTTTTATCCTGAGGTTGGCACCGTTTGGGCAGTACTTTCATATCCTACTTTTGAAAATCAAATTTAACTTCCAAGCATAAGCATTTTCAAGTTATTACAGCATCTTCTCACGCGTTTCTGAATCGCTGCGTGATGCTTCACTGCAGGGAGGATCGTGCGTTTTTCCTGAGCATTTCCCAGGCTGGCGTGTTCCCGTTCTGTGCTTTCTTGACCCTCTGCGCACCCTGAGAGTCCAGGGTGAGTCCCGGGCTAGCTTCCTGGAAGCAGGTCCCTGAGCCGGGGCTGCCTGAGGAATGTGCACGGCACTCCCCAGCCGTTTTCACAGGAGTGACGGTTCGGTTCGTTCCCGGCCCCAGCAGCTGTTCTGTCACGTCCTCGTTAGCGCTGTGTATTCGTTTAAGAGATGGGGCGGAACCTTGTCAACATAGTAGGCTGAAGTTATCTGTCGCTTTGGTTTTATGACAGCCTGGGAAGGATGTATTAGCCATCTACGGCTGTGCGACAAGTTACTCCCAACTTAGCAGCTTAAAATGACGCTCATCTGTAACCTCTGTGTGTCTGTGGAATTCCGCATCCGGGCGCAGCCGGGCTGGGTCTCGTGGAGGCTGGACCGGGGAAGGAGCGGCTCCGACCAGGCCACATGGGTGTCGGCAGGACTCCGCTTCTCGCGCAGTGAGGGCCTCAGCTGCTTGCTGCGTGGGCACCGCCGCGTGACGGCTGGTTTGTGAAAGGCAGCGAGGAGTCGGCCAGCACAGCAGCCGTCAGGACGGTCTGAATCCAGTCCAGGCAGTGGGATCCTGCGCAGTCAGTTAGATGCAGGTCACTCAAGGGGAGGGGGTCACTGGAGACCCTGAACCCCGGCAGGCAGGACGCGGGTCTCGCAGGTCTGGGGGTGGGGCTGGGCGCCCAGGGAGGATGCCGGCGGGTCCGTCCGGCTCTCCGGGAGGCACGTGCGTGAGCGTTTTCCTGAAGGAGGCTGACGTGCTCCGATTCTCTGGGTGATTCTAACTGGAGTCGGGCGGGGCTCCGCCGTGGCCCTGGCTGTGGCCGGCAGCATCCCCTTCCGTGGCTGGCGCTCCCGGTTCGCGCGCAGGACTGACGCGAGGGTCTCTTCTGACAGTCTGCTCGTCGCTCCCTCGGGGGAAACTCCTGCAAGCAGGATTCTGGGGCGCCTGTGCGCTCAAGCGGGGGCGCCTTCCGCCCCTCACGGAGCCTGCCGGGGACCGGCTGTCGTCGCTTTCCTGTCCGTGTCTTCGCTGATGAAGTTGAACGTTTTTTCATATACTTACTACCATTTTTTCCTTTTGTTAACTTTCTGTTCATTTCTTCGACCTGATTTCTTAAAAGTAGTATATAAATCATTTTGTTATCGACTTGTAGAAACTTTTTCCATTTTAGGGTGTGAGCCCTTCAGCTCCAGTGTATTTACAAATTGTCCCAGTTTGTTTACCTTTTAGTTTTTTAATAATTCCGGGTGCCAAACAACAAGGACAGTCTGGGCCACGTCCTGGCCAGACGCTGCTGTCGGCCTGCGTCTGTGTTCGCTGGGACCCCCCCCCACCCCCCGCGTCTCTGTGGCTCCGCTTCCGTGGGAACGTCTAGTTGTGTCGCGCTCTGGCTAGAGGGGCTAGCGGAGCACTTTCTGATTTGGACACGTTAGGTTTCCCTGTAGCTTCCTGCGCAGTCAGCATTTGGTCGCTGCCCCAGGTCACTGCCCCCGGGCCCGGAAGAGCAGGTGTGTTCTCGGCTTGCTGGGGAGACGCCCTCACTCAAGCTGCCAGTCAGAGCTGCCTTTTGGTGGATTTCCGTGGTCCCTCCCAGGAGCTCTGAGAGCCTCGGAGACTTCCTGACACTCTGGGGGCCGCTGGCACTTGCCCCTTGGACTCCTGTATCTGGAATTCTGGGTGACAAAAAGGCGACTCTGTTAATTTAAAACCAAAAAGGACTGAGAACCGGCGATACATCCTTTTACGGATTCTCCGTTCTTGGCCTGCCCAGCGGGGCCTGCCCTGGAGCACGGGGAAGAGGAGGAGGGGGGAGGCCAGGCCCACCAGGGCCTTCGGAGGCGGCGGGGGTGGACAGAAGGACCCGCACCCCGCCCCAGAGCAGCCCCCGTCCCCGAGCGGCCCCCTGTCCCAGAGCCCCCCGGCTGGAGAGGGGAGGAGGGGAGCACCTCCTCGAGCGCCACGTGGGTGGTGACCACGGCCCAGATGTTTGTATCAGTATTTCTGGGTGAGACGGTGGTTATTACCTAGGAACAGGCAGAGGAGACGTAGGCTTGTTCCCCAGGGGATGTTTGGCCGTGTCTGGAGACACTTTTGGTGGTCGCCACTGGCGGTGCTACAAGCACATAGTGGGCAGAGGCCAGGGACGCAACTAACACCCTGCAGCGCTCGGGATAAGTCCCGCCCAGCGGCCTTGTCTGGTCCAAAATGTCAAGTGTCAAGGTCAAGAAACCCCGGTCCGTCTAAGCCGGGACCACGCTCTTGAGTCCTACAGCTTAGTAATAATTCTTGAAATGAGGCAGTTTAGTCCAAATCTTGTTCTTTTTCAGAGTTGTTCAGGCCACTGTTGGTCCTTTGCACGTTGATATAAATTCTAGCATCAGCCTGTCGATCTCTGCAAAGACCCCGATTGGTGGCCGCGGATGCCGTTGGTCGGAGGAGCCCAGGCTCTGTGCCAGGAAGCACATGTGCCCGCCCCGCGCAGCCTGCCTCCTCGCCCGGGGGAGGCGCCGGGGCAGGTGCTGGGCTCTGGTTCTGCAGCCGGAAGGCCGGGCTGAGGTCGCCACGGCAGGATGTCTGTTTTATTGATTTATTTTAACTCTTGTCTTTCATTCCCACCTCTGGCTGAAAGATGGCTGTGTACCACGCAGGTGTATTGCTCTGTCACCCACTGCTGTTTGTTTGTTTGTTTCCAGAATGCTTCTGCTTTTTGAACTGGCTCACCTCTCTCTGACCTTGAAATGCGTGGACATCTCCTCTGACTGCCTCGCAGAGCTGAAGAAAATCGAAAGCAAAGTAAGTGGCTTCGCGACGACTGCTGACTCAGGCAGCACCGGTACTCGCGTGAGTCTGGACGTAAAGGCCAGAGAGCGGAAAAGCCGTTCACAAAGCCGTGGCCAAAGGGCCCCCAGGTGTGCGGCTGGCAGTCGCCCTCCGTGTGTGTCACGTGTGTTTGTTTTATGTGCGGTCGCGAGTCTGTGGCTTTTGCCGTTTTGCATCTGCCCCTTCCCCTCGGCCTCCGTGGCAGACGCCGGGCCACGCTGCCACCAGCTGTTTGTGCAGCGTGTAAATCTCACGGCGTTACTGATCCAGGGCTAACTCCCCCACCCCCGTCACTGGACATCTGAGTCACACACCGTGGTCCTCCCTGATCTGCGGTCGCACCGTCCGAAGTTTCAGTGACCCGTGGTCAACCGCGGTCTCAAAATATGATAGTTTGAGAAAGAGAGAAACCACACTAACGTAACTTTTATTACAGTATATTGGCATGATTATTCTATTTTATCATGTCATTGTTAATCTCTTACTGTGCCTAATTTATAAATTAAACTTCATCGTAGGTGTGGATGTGTAGGAAAATCCATAGTGTGTATGGGGTGTGGTGTGATCCGGGGCTTCAGGCATCCACTGGGGTCTTGCAATGTGGCCCGCTCAGGTCAAGGGGGACCATGGTATAATTTTTTGCTTATTCCATAAAGGGCTGCCCTGAACATTTGGTGCCTAAAGCTTTTTTCTGCATTTAGGGTTTTTCCCTAAGATAAGTTTATTGTCATGAAATTACTGGGGAATTTTCACTTCTAAGATTTTTAAATACGTATTACAATATTGCGCTCCAGAGAAAGTTTTAGATTCTGCCAAACATACGTAAGAGTGCATGCTTCAGGTTTGTTTTTTAATTTAAGAGACGATGAATGGCCTCTTCCAGAGAGCAAAGTTTCGAGTTAGCCGTTACCAAGCACAGTTTTGAGTATGATACGCGGTAAATTTGCTCCACACAAGGGTGACCAGGTTGGACGAGGGATCTCGAGGACAGTGGGACCGGGTGCTGGAGGTCACTTTGCGCTGTCTCCACTGAGCGCCTGCCGTGCGTTTAGCCCAAGTTACCTGAGAGCGTAACCCCGGCTGACCCTCCGGAGTTTATTACCAGCTCAAGCCGTAAGGCCTGGCGCAGACAGGAAGATACATAGTTCGGCACAAGGGGAATCAGATGGTCGTGTTCGTAGTCATGCTGATCTGGAACAGCTTTCAGGGAGGAGACGGAAGTTCGTCCTGACCTTGGCAGTCAGGCAGCACCTGGCCAGGACATCCGGGGCGGCAGGGTGGGTGGGAAGTGGCGTCAAGGCTGGGGACGTGTGTCCAGGCAGCACCCAGGACGCAGAGTGTGGGAGGCTCGTTTCTGAAGTGCTCTGCCGAGGGTCCCATTCCCGTCGGGTTTTCCAGGACACGGTGGCCAAACGCAGCACTGGCGTCACCATGCCTGGGTCCCCCCCAACCCCGCTTCTGCCTCTCAGCCCCCGAGCAGCCTTCCCGCGACTCTGAGCCCGGTGTTTGCTTCTGTGAGCTGCCTGCAATGACACGACCGTCTCGAGGGCCTTGCCGAACTGCAGCCAAGGCCTGGGGCATCGCAAGGCGGGCGCCTGGGACGGCCCTTCCTCCCATAACGGGGCTCGCTGTTGCCGCCCCGCGGCCCTGGCTCTGGGCCTCCGTCCGGCCCTGCCCGCCCTCGCGTCTTGGTGCGCGCGGCCTGCCCCGCAGCCCCTCCGCGAGGCCGCCTCCCCCTCCCGGCGCTGCGGCCTGGCGCTGTGGTCTGCGTGTAGCACGTCGCTGGCATTTCTGGAAATGTCTGGCACCGGGTCTTTCTTTAATTTTTTAACTCAAATACAGAGGGTTAAAGGGTAACAGACCAGTGAAACAGGGACAAAGCCAAACACGAGGGTAGAGGGAATCACACCCCGAGCCCGGTGCACCCTCTCCTCGCCGGTCCGCTCCAGCGTGTTCCGTGTTCACTCTTGGTTTCTGTAAATGTTCTCTGAGTACCTGAGAAGGATATCTTTATTTTCTAAGTATTCCTTAAGTAGCGTTTCAGTATAAGTTGGTTTTCACATCTTTACCTCCTGACTACTTTTTATCTGCTTCCTCCACTGATCTCTGTGAAAGGCATTTTAATCTCAGTTTTGCGTCGTGCGGCTGCCATTTCTCTGTGCTCCTTGGTGCACGAAGCGTCAGAATTGCTGCATCTTCCTGGTGAAACGTGACACGTCTCCGGGTAAATCGGCGGCTGCGTCACTGCACATGGACCACGCCTGTTGCGTCCAAGTGTGCCGTTTGCACGTCACTCACTCATCGTCCGTCGTGCCTCCCGGGGATGGGCGTGTCTGATGTCACCCCCGGCCCCTTCCTGGCATCACGATGGCACTTACCGGCTGCTCGGTAAATACTCGCCGAGCGGTGGAGGGATCGTTGAGACGATTCAGTCTCTCCAAAGCGCGTGTGCGTGTCCCGGTTTTCTGGTTTTACCGGTGCATTCCGTGTATCGTCTCCCTGAAGTGCTGGGCCCGACGGTTGGGACCCAGGAGCCGGAGCGGCCCAGGGACCAGCCGTGAGATCAGGGAGAGGCGTCGATTAAGTCCCCAATACCGAGCCGTAATGTCTGACATTCTAGCGTCTTCCTAGAGGGATTTGGCACAAAAACAAAGCAAACGTGCAATCTCGTACGATTGACCAGAAATCAGCGAATCTTTTCTCAAACGGGAAACGACACAGCAGGGGCCGTTGAGACGATGCTGCCTTCTGCCCCGCCAGGCAGGATGGACGAGACATTGACCCTCGAGCCTGAAGCTACCGGAAAACCAAACAAAACGTATGAAACGTCCGGAGAATGGTTTCCACGGCGCTGAGCCAGACCGCGACGGAGGGTGGCCTCGGAGAGGTGGGACCAGACGGAGGAGCTGTGAGGGCTCAGCTGCCGGCCGGCGTTTGCGGATTGGGCCGGTGGGGGCACCCAGGCTGAGGGGACACAGCTGCTGTTTGGGGAGGACAAGGACGTCCCTGGGGAGGCACGAGAGGAGGGAGCTGCGCACGGAGAGCTCTGGGGTCCGCAGAGGGTCCCCCGTCGCTGAGGACCAGGCAGCAGGTGCGTGCGTGTGAGGAAACCCCCGGGCTGGGGCGAGAACTGCCGTTTGGAGAAAGGAGTCCAGGGAACCGTCCGCAAAAGTCACACAGGGCTGGGACGGTTCCTCTTCCCGCCACCGGGAATCCAACAAAAATGTCACCAGATAATCAGAGGAACACGACCCGCCGTGAGGAGAAGAGCCAAGCCACCGACACCGAGGGGACAAGTGAGATCAGCCGACGCAGACGTCAGGACGGCTCTGCGTTCAGGAGGGTGGGACGGGCTGAGCCTGGCTGTCAAACGGCAGTAAGGGGGACCCAGAAAGCACCACGTTGGACTTGAGGAGATGCAAACCGCACCGTCTCAGATAAAAACTCTCCGGGTAGAATTTGGAGCAGGTCAGGCACTTTAGACCAAGGAGGAGGGGGCGGGGCAGCGCGGAGACCGCCGCAGTGATGCGCGGAGAGAGGCGCCGGGGCCGCGGGGCAGCTCCGGCCGGCCCGGGACTCCTGCGATTAGAATCCCTGGGGACAGAAGAGGAAGGGAACAGCAACATGAAGAAATTCCACAATGTTTAAGTGAGATGACCCTCGAGGGGAGGGAGATGACGTCGTTCGCCGGGGGGCAGACGCAGGGGTGACCCCGACTTGGCCTGGGCATCCACACAACCCAACAAAGATCGTCTCTGAAACACTGAAATAAAAGATCAACCTAAAAGTCTAAACCCAGAAAAAATATCTTTCAAATTAGAAAGAACAGACTTTAAATATTTGTTAACATATGCAAAATGGAAAGCTTGGCCTACATGACAAGACATATTGAAGGAAGTTCTTCGGGCAACAGGGTGAAGGTGCCAGCTGGAAAACCTGGTCCTCAGGACGCGGCGGGACACAGGAGATTCCTAGGAGATTGCTAGAACGTGCTTTTTGTTTTCGGAGACAGGGTCTGGCTCTGTTGCCCAGGCTGGGTGCAGCGGCGCAACCACAGCTCGCTGCAGCCTGGAACCCCTGGGCTCAGGCGATGCTCCCCCCGCAGCCTCCCAAGTAGCTGGGAATACAGCTGCCACCACCACGCCCCGCTGATTTTTTAATGTTTTGTAGACATGGGGTCTTGCTATGTTGCCCAGGCTGGTCTTGAACTCCCAGGCTCAAGCGATCCTCCCGCTTTGGCCTCCCAAAGTGCTGGGATTAACAGGCGTGAGCCGCCATGCTGGGCTGTTATTCTTTTCCTGATATTATAATAATGGCACCTATCTAACTATGAAAAATTCAGAAGACTTTTAAGGACAAAAGAAAGAAAAATCTCGGGCCATGTTCCTAGGCACAAATAACTTCTTAGCATTTCCACGTAGCCACTGGAAGCTTTTTCCCACGAGTCCGGCGCCGTGCCGTGAGCAGGGTTTACGTCCAGCTTTTAGACCTCTGACGGGTGGGTGTTTTCCCAGGTCATCAGACATCACAGACGCGAGATTCAGTGCCTGTCCCGTGCCCCGCCGTGTGTTCATGTCATGATCTGTCCCTTCCTATTAGACATTCAGAGGCTTGTAAGATTTGTTTTCAGTTAAAAGTTCACTAATGTTAAGGATGCGAATGGCTCTTAATTGTGAAACCAGATGCAGTTTGGAAGACGAGTCACTGCCACCGTGACATCTCATTTCAAGTTGCCAGAGCGGGTGGAAACCAGCTAACCTGAGTGGGCGTGGACACGGCCTCCTCCTGCGTGGAAGGAATCCCGCGTCAGGTTGGGCAGGCGCAGCCTCGGACGGCGGCCTCCGCACCCTGGAGTCCCGGCCACACCGAGGGCCCCAGACGCACAGGATCGAGGTGCCCGGCCGTGGAGCGGAGCTGCCACGCACAGCCCGTCCCACACGCTGCAGGCGGTTCCGGTCACTGCGGGCGTCTCCCGTGGAAGGCGAGTTTCCTGGAGCAGAGGCCGCCTGTGTGTCCTGAAGACACGTGATCCGCAGCCGCGCTCGCAGATGGGCAGCGAGTCATCCCCGGTGCGCGCGAGGCCTGCGTCCCGCGAGGCGGAGTGGGTTCAGGGGCGCGGCCTCCGGGTGGCGGCCTACACACTGCTCCCCTGGCCTGGGTGCGGCTGCCGAGGCCCGGGGGTCTTTCCGTGGGACCGCCACGCCAGGGTAAAGAGCTGGCAAGTGACGTCTCAGACATCCAGACTCTAGTTCCTTCCTGAGGCCCTGAGTCCTATATGTCTGGGGCCGGGATGAGGCCCCAAACTGGGCAGGTGAGGCCCCCACCCCAGACACGCCCCGGGCTCCCGCCGCCTGCCTCCTGTGCCTCTCAGAAGGGCTTTTGCGCCCTAAGCCAGGCAGGCATTAAATAAGAGAAAATACGTTTGCTAAATCTCATAAGAGGAAGTTTATCGGAAGTTGGTTTAATTATTTAAAAACTCGATGTCCATTAACATCAACGAGCTCCCCCTCAAACCGTGGTGTCCTCTGCACCGTCGTACCGTCTCGTGCTGTGCGTCTGTTGAATTCCTACCAAGCAGTATTTTTAAATGACCTTTGACATTAACGTCACGGTGCTTTCATTAAACGTCTCCCTGTGTACAAACCTGTGTCTGCAGGCCCCTGGGAAGCTGATTGAAATCGAATGTCTGGAGTACGAATTAGAAGCCTCAGCGCTTGAAAATAAAGTTAAACTCTACGTCCGAGCAGCTGTTGAGGTAAGTCCTTAAACAGGAGTTGTGGTCACATCGCATTATTTTGCAAATTTCCCGGAACTTGGTGAGAGGCGGCTTTGTGGTAGAGTTGACAGTGCTGGCAACGTGGCCTGCACCCCACGCTGGACTCGCCCTGGCTCTGCCCCGGCTCCCGGGTGACTGCGGACGAGGCCGGCCTCCCATGGACCCGTGGCCTCCCGCCTCCCCCCCGTAAGAATGCAGCGGTGGCCCCGTGGCCTGGGCTGCACCAGCCCCCAGCGTGGTCCCCGCCGGCCCCCAGGACCACCCCTGCCTCCCTGGCAAGGTGGGTGCAGAGCTGCCCCCCACCCCCCAACACGGGCAACGCTCGGTGCCACCCGGGTCCCATGAGGGCTCTTTGCCGGCCTGCCTCGGGTCCAGGAGGGTGCCCAGTGGGGAGCGGGCAGCCCAGCTGGGCCTGGGGACCTGAGGAGGGACGGTGGCATCACGAGGGACCCGGGGCTGGACGGAGAGGGCAGGGTTCGCCGAGGTTGCTGTCCCTGCCTCAGTTGCCTGTTTGGGAACCACAGAACTGTTCGGGAGGTTCCCAATTGCGGTTACTGAAGAGGCGACTCCTTCTTTAAGGGCAGCTGCCCCACGAGCCGCCGTCCAAACGCGACGGTGAAGGGTTACGACGACGTGAGCGCGACTTAGCGTAGGGTCTGGAACAGCAGCCACTGCCAGGAAGGGATCTAGAAATCGGTTTGGACTATTCCATCGGTAACAGTTTTGCAGTGAAGAAAGAACGAAAATGTACTGAAACGGCAATGGCGGGCAGCCCGATGTGGGCCCGCGGGAAGGGCCATCGGTGCCCGGCCCAGGGACCCTCACTCCTGCCCTCCCCGCCGGGCTGTTCACGCCCACCATGCCGTGAGGCGAGGCCGCCATGGGGGGCCACACGCCCGGCCTTGTGGAAGGGGCAGAGCGCCGGGGCGTCCTCCGCCCCTGTCCTCAGCCAGGCTCTGCCCAGCGTGTCTCTGGCCGTCTGGCGGGACGTGGGCTCCCGCGGGTTTGCCTGTGCGTGTCTGCGCCGCCGTGCTGGACGTCTCGAGGGAGGGAAAGCTTTGATGGCTGAGTGCGTGTGCCGGTGCCTCGCACGTGGTGGGCACGGAACGAGCGTTTGTTTAAAACATGATTTATGGAGAACGGTTTGGCCGCCACCTTTTACCGTGAAGCTGCAGCAGAGGCTGGTGGCTGTGGTGCTGCGGGTTGCACCACTGTGCCCCGCCACACCTCCGCTGCTGAGGATTTGGGGGGCTGGGCCCCATTTATGAGGCTTCGACGGACTCATCTTGGCGCCAAGCAGCACGACGGGCTTGTGAGTCCCAAGTGCGGGCTCGGCCCAGCTCGCCCGGGCGCAGCGTGAGGGCCCCGAGGTGCCAGGGCCAGAGGCTGTGACCACGCGCAGGACAGACGGGCGTCCCCGTGGGGCCCGAGGAGGGCGGGGAGCCTGGCGGGGGCAGCTCCGCAGCCCTGAGATTCCGGGCTGAGCCTGTCTGCTGGGAAGGGCACCGCAGACACCCCGAGCAGACGCCCCCTGGTGGCAGTCGTGACGGGCACACGCGCAACACACATGGTCAGGAGCCAAGCAGGCCGAGTGCGTCCTCTCGCGCAGGGCAGACCCGTCCACGCACGTGCAGAGCACGGCCGCGCCTCGGGAGTGTCGCGTCTCGTGAGGCCTCCGCTCCCTTCTGGGGGGGATGCGTGGCCACAGGCTGAGGCAGCGTGACGAGCGAGTCCTGCGTTCCCAGCGCGCCCAGCCCCCGCGTGCTTCCCTGACCCGCGTCCTCGCGCTGCAGGCCTGGGAACGCCGGCGGCCGGCTCTCCCGGGTCGTGACAGGAACAGCCGGTGACGGCGCTGATCTCACGACCTCCGCGGAGCGGCCTGTGTCCTCTCCGCAGGCCCAGCTGGACATCACCCGGGGGCTGGACGTCTTGCTGCAGCGCGCCATCCGCCTGGGCGACGCCCGGGCCATCCACGTGGTGTGCGCCACGCAGTGGAACACCTGCCTGCCCCTGCTGCAGCACAACCTGCGGCACCACCTGCGCAAGCCGCTGACCAACGTCGCGGAGGTCCTGGAGAAGGTGGACAGGTAGGGCGCGGTCTGTCCTGGGTCCCGACCGAGGGAAGGCGCGTGGGCAGAGGGGAGAAGGCAGAATTCTCCAATGTTACGGATGCGGATGAAGTGAAACTCAGTTGCCATAAAAGTGGTGCAAGCAGAACGCCCCACCCGTATCCAACGGGACGTGAAAGGTGTTCCAATGACAAGGACGTCACTGTGTCCACCTGCCCCACAGCGCTGGGCAGGCCGGGGCCCTGCGCACCCAGAAATGCGGAGCCCCCACGGGACCTGGGGAAGGAGGCTCAGCACAGGCTTCCACCGAGGCAGACACCGGCCAGGGCGTCTGCACCCCTCGAGCTGACAGAAGGGACCTGTCCCGCCACAGAGAGGCCACAGTGGGGCTGGTTGGGGCCTGTGGGGACGTGGGTGGGTCCTGCCGAGGGGGTGGGGCCCTCGGGAAGCCTGGGACCAGGGGAGCGCGACGTGTCTGCAGGTGTAACCAGGACAGGCCTGGTCCATGGTGGCGGCAGCCTCCAGGTGCGCCGTGGCGGATGGGAGCAGGTGCTGGGGGACAGCGAGGGGTGTCCGTGGGGCGTTTGGCCTGAGCACAGGAGCCAGAGCTGTGTGGGCAGATCCCAGGGAGGCTGGAGACCCGGTCTGGGTTCAGGAACTCCTGGCTGGAGAGGCCGGAGAAGTAGGAAATCGTGTCTGGAGCGTGGCGAGGTCAGGAGGGTGCAGGGCAGAGGTGGGCAGGTGAGGTCGGGAGGGTGCAGGGCGGAGGTGGGCAGGTGAGGTCGGGAGGCTGCAGGGAGGACGTGGGCGGGCGAGGTCGGGAGGGTGCAGGGCGGAGGTGGGCGGGCGAGGTCGGGAGGGTGCAGGCCGAGGCAGAGCTGGCCCAGGCAGGACACGGGGGACAGAGGTCGGGGAAGCCCGTCCCTTGCAGAGTTGCCGGGAGGCACTGGGCGCGTGCGGGACCTGGGCACCGTGCGCTCAGGGCTGGGCTTCGAGTCGGTTTTCCCGTCCGCGTCTGCTTTGTTTCTGGGCATCCCAGCTGCAGAGTGATCCACACAAGAAATGGATCGTGCTTGGGTCAGCGTGCGTGGGGCCCGGCTTCCTATGGCTCCTGTTCCCGAGGGATTGGGGTGCGAGCAGCGGAGAGGAGCCTTGGGCTCCGGGCTGTGGCCGGGGCGCCAGAGCCGCTCTGCACTGGCCCCGCAGCCCTGCTGAGAGCCTCCCAGGAGTGCGAGGGGCTGGCAGCCGCGGTGTGGGCGGCACGGTGTGGGGTCCCCACACTCAAGGGCCCCGCTGTGCCGACCTGGCTGCTCAGCCCCTGGGCTCCGAGGTCTCCGTGGTCTGCGGGGCCTTCTCTCTCTGTCCCCCTTTGTGGGCTCAGGTGAGGTGGGGGTGTCCCCGGAAGCACACTGGAAAGTGGGGGGGCGCAGGCCCCACCCTGCACACGGGCCATCCCCCCTAGGCCCGGCACTCCTGATGGCAGCCGCCGGGCCCTGACCCTGTGCGCCGTTGCAGCCTCATGAGCCTGCTGCGCTGCCAGGTGCACATGGAGGTGGCGCTGCTCGAGGAGGATGAGGACCGGCTGGAGCCCGCCCTGGAGCACCTGCAGAAGGCCGAGCGCCTCGACAGCCTGGGCCTCTACCAGGACAGGCTGCAGACGGCCATCCACCGGCTGCGCCTGTGCACCCTGCTGTACCAGGTCCCCGAGCGCGCCGAGGACAAGGCCACCATGGCCATCGAGCAGGTGCCGGCGCAGCCTGGGGAGGGCTGACGGGCGGCGGAGCGGACCCGGGTGCGGCGCTGTTCTCGGGAGGATGGGAGAAGGTGCTGCTCTGGACCGAGTCCTGACTTGCCGTCTCTTGCTCCTTCCCGCAGGCGAAGAAAGCCGTCCAGAAAGACGGCGTCCGGAGGGAGCGGGCCCTCCTGGTGAACGCGGGCCTGGCCCTGGCCCCCGACGCCTTCCAGATCGTGCTCGACAGCGAGAACGAGGCCAAAGGTGGGCGCCAACGGCGTGCGGGGCCAGCAGGGTCCCGCCCCGGAGGGGCCTCGCGCCGCTCTCAGCAGACCCCAGACAGGGCGGGGGCCCCGCTGCGCCCCCGAAGGTGTGACGGCCGGCACGTCACATCCGCAGACCTCGGGCTGCGCCGCGCTCTCTGGGGCCCATCAAAGGGTCCTGGGGGGACGGGTGTCTTGTCCCTGCAGGGGCCACGTTCACGGCTCAGCTGCCACCACAGGGTCGCACGTGGGGCGGCAGAAATAGTAGGAATTTATTTCCCACAGCTCTGGGGGCTGCAAGTCCGAGCTCAGGGTGCGGCGGGTTTGATTCCTCCTGAGGCCGCGGTCCTTGGCCTACAGGCACCGTCCCCTCCCTGGGGCTCCCCCCCGCCTCGCCGTGCGCGTCAGCGTCCTGCTCTGCTCTGCTCTACGGACGCCGGCCAGACGGGGCTGGGACGCCCAGGGGCCCCATTTCACCTCAGTTACCTCTGCAAAGACCCAGCTCCACGTAGTTCTGCAGTCCGAGGCCCTGGGGGTTCGGGCTTCAGCGTGTCTGTTTTGGGGGGACTCGGTTCAGCCCACAGCACTGTCAGAGCACGAGGGCGGCCCTGAGTGTGGGTGTCAAAGGTCAGACCCGCACGGACCCCACTCATGCCGGCCGCGGCCTTTTATCCAGGAGGCTCACCTGGCTCCGGGTCACGGGATGTGGGTGCTCCCTACGTGCGGGGCGGCCGGGCAGGGGGGCAGGTCTGGGCCTGGCTCAGGAGCCCCTCCCCCAGCCCGCCTGGGGTCCGGCCGAGGCCACCGCAGCGTGTCCCTCCAGCCTGGCACCCACGGCTGGTGCTGTCACCCAACTTGACCCCAGGTCGCGTTGCGGGTGAGGCAAGACGAGGGTGCTCTGGCCCCGGGTGGCCTGTGATGGGGGTGAAGGGGCGGCTCTGGGAAGCGGCCCTGGGGACGCTCATGCCCTGCTGTCTGTCGCTGCCCTGTCTCCCAGTCACTCTCGCTCTTGGTGTCATTTTTGTCCTGAGGAGTGAGTCTGCCAGCACCGCCTGGACACGTCTGTTTCGGTTTCTTGACTTGTTTTACCCACAAGCGTGTGCTGCTGCAGCCCGGGGCCCGCGCACATGTACCTGGGGTGTGGGGCCAGGACGGGACGGCGCCGCGCCCAGCAGGACATCCTGCCGGGACTCCGCCGGGGCTCCAGAGAGGATGCTCTCGTGTTGGCTTCAGAAAGTGGATCTTACCAGGTGGACGCCAGCATGGGGGGCACAGCTCTGAGGGCTCCAGCCTCCCGCCAAGGGGTGTCCCGCCAGGCACGGACGAGGCCGCCCTCAGGCCCAGCGCCCGCTGCATTCCCCGGCAGCTGCACGGGGTGGGCGGCCTCGGTGTGAAGTTGAGCTCTGGGTGTTCCGGGTCTTATTTGCCGGGAAAGGGGGGCAATGAGATAGGACCGCCGGGCCTCGGGTGGACGGTGGACAGCAGGTGTGTGGGGGCCGGGCGAGCAGGGAGGCTGGTGCTTCTGCTTGGAGCGGGGTGGGCAGGGCGGCCAAGCAGGGTGGCGCCGGGCGAGCGCGCTGAGCCAGGCTGTGTCTGAGGCCCCACTCGGGGTGCAGCGAGCTCCGTCCCATTGAATTCGGAGGCACAAGCGAGGCCACGAGGCAGCTGTGCAAGGGGCTGGGCTCCCAGGAGCAGCGGACCCAGGAACCTGGGTGGCCGCCCGCGCTGGCCAGGCAGCAGCCAGTTGGGATGCCGTGGTCAGGCGTGTTCTCTCGGACAGAGCTGCAGCCGCCGCGTCTCCCGACCCTTAACACACAGCGGCGACTTTGCATTTCGTTTTCTGCTCTCAGTTTCCACCGGGAAGAACCGGGGCCGCTTCAGCTTCCTGGCCGCGAAGGCGCGTCACCACATGGCCAGCGTGGACAAGGCCGCCGGCCACTTACGGCGCCTGGGGAACGAGAACGACAAAGAGAGGTGAGTGAGGAAAAGGCACTTTTCTGAGGACAAAAGGATAAAACGCAAACGGCAGAGCCCTGGGGAGGGTCTCTGGCCTGAGCACGTTGCCTGAGGGCCGAGGTGGCGGTGGCCGCTGGGGCTTGTGCCGCTCCAGGCGGGGGGCGGAGGCCATGGACACCTGCCCCACGGTGAGACCTCCCTCCGTGCCCCGGGAGGCCTCAGCAGGACGTGGCGCCAGGTTCTGCACACGGTGTCAGGACGTGGTGACCGGCCAGGCTGGCGTCTGGCACAGACGGGAGGGGTCCCGACCCCGGGGAGACCTGCCCCTCGCCAGGGGAGGGAAGGGTGGGGCGTTTCTCATGGTCACGACGATCGGTGCCGCCGATGCTCGGCAGGCGGGAGCAGAGAGTTGCGCCCTGACCGGGCCAGCCGCGCACGCCCAGGGCCGCCGTCCGCCGTGGGCATTGATTGTCACAGGTCGCTCTGCAACCCCAAAACTGGCTTTTTCTCACCCGCGGCCATTCCGGGTGGTGTCTGTTTTACCAACTGTGTCCCTGTTCACGTTTCCCTGTCTGGGTCTTTGGGGACCAGGATACAGATCTGGGCGGAGCTGGCCAAAGTTGCGCGGAAGCAGGGCGTGTGGGACGTCTGCCGGGCTGCGAGCCGCTTCTGCCTCCTCTACGACAGCGTCAAGGTGAAGAAGCCCTCGAGGCTGCGGAGAGGTGTGTGGCCCCGCGAGCGTCTCCCGCCCCGGCCGGCCGAGTCTCCGCTGCCAGGCGGCCATGGGGAGCTGTGGCCGGAGCCTCCGTCCGTCCGGGTGGCTCCTGGAGGGGCTGGGACTGGCTGGAGGGTGGACGGGCTGCGCCTGCGTCCAGCGGGGCCTCCCCGTGGGAGAGGGTGTCTCCAAACACGTCTGCAGTTGACCCGGGTAACCGTGCCTGACGCTGGTGACCGTCACGGCGTAGTCACCGGCAGTCACACCTGGTGCCCAGGCGGTGCTGCCTGGCTGTGTGCCGGGGACGCCGCGTGACGGTCCTCACATTGGGTCTTCATCACTCAGAGGGTCCTCGGGGCCCAGACTGGGGCAGCCACCACTGGTGGGCGGTGGGCAGAGGCCCAGGCCAGGCGGTCAGCACCCGGCCCCTGGAGAAGTGCCGGTCTCAGGGACAGCAGGACACACGGACACGCAGAGGGAGGCAGGAGATGGAGCAGGGAGGGCCTGTGGAAGTTGGGGGGGGTGCCCCCCAGAAGGCAGCAGATGGGATGTGGGAGGGAGCAGTTTTCTCAGGCCAGCGCCTCCCGAGCTGGGGGACCCACCCAGGGCAAACCAGGAGCATCTCAGGGATGTCGGCCACAGACGAGCTCCTCTGGTCCCTTCCTGGGCATCGTGCCTCTCCTGGGACCCTCCGCACCCCCGGGTGGGCCCTGCGGGAGCTGGAGAGACTCAGGCATCGGAGTGGGCCAGGAATTGTTGTGTTTGGTTGGTTTGCTGGAAACACGCATCTTTACCTGCTGCCTCTCCCCCAGGAAGGAAGAGGCGAGGCGGGGAGGGCTCCGAGCACGAGGCCACGGGGCCGTCGGAGGTCGCCCTGCAGCGGCAGGTGTCCTGTGACCTGCTGCGGAGGTTCGCGGAGGTGGGGTTCATCAACGCTGAGGTGCGTTCTGCGCCGCGGACACGGGGGTCCCGGGGCACGTCTGCATGCCTGTGGCAGGGTTGTCGGCCTCCGTGTGCCCGTGACCTGTTGGGGGTGCTCATTGCGGTACCCGCCTGTGCGCTTGCACAGAGCCGTGTAGGGGAGGGAAGAGTTCCCGGATTCTTGGGAGCGTTTCTGGGAGAAAAGTATAAATCAAAACGTATCTCAGTGTGGGTTGATGTTAACTTTATGCTAGAGGTAATTTCTGAATTGCGGACTCCGAGGTTCCATAGATACAGCCGGTGATTCCATCTGGGGTATTTACATCAGGGCAGACTTTGGAAGCACTTTGAACAGGTGTGGGTGGGCGGAGGCCGAGGCCTGGACCCACCACCCCAGCCCCAGTGAGCCGATCCCCCCAACACACGGCAGCGGGACACTGGGCCGGCCCCGCCCAAAGTCAGGGAGAACATGGCCTCACCGGACCAGCCCCAGCTCTGAGCTTTCAGCTCCCATGCCTGGGCCAATGCAGCGGTGACGCTTGGGACATTTCATGACCCAGGAGTCCTCAGAGCACTCTGTCTGAGGCCTGTCAGTCGCTCAGTGGGCGCGGCCCTCGGCCTGGGGGCCATAGTGTGGCTGACATCTTCAACGGGCCTCCTGAGCACAGGCCAGGCGTGAGCCGGGGACCCCGCAGCAGCAGAGCGACACCCGATGGGGGAGCAGAGCTGGCCGAGGGCAGACACGAGGCCGTCCGGGCCACTGGGCAGGGACGGGCGGCCTGTCCACGCCCGGGCTGCCACCCTTTCCTCAGCCCCGCCGGTCTGTCCCCAGTGGCTCAGCAGCCGTGGGTGTTGCAAACACGCTAATGGAGTACCCAGGGGGTTTGTGCTCTGCCTGGGCGTGCAGGAGTGTTGGGAAACTCCTGTCTATCCGGGGAGGCGTGGCAGGGCGGTGCACCGTGCTTGGAAGGAGCCCTCCCCTCCCGGCGTGCGGGCTGGTGGGTGCAGAGGCTGGGGGTCTGCTCCCCTGTGGTCCGTGGGTGGCCATCGCCGCGACGGCTGCCTGGGGTTCGCCACCCGGGTCTCTCCACCTCGTGTGTGGCGTTTTTACACCTGAAGTTGAGAGGGAAGTGTGGGCTGTGTGTCCCCACCTGGGGCTGGGCCACGCCCGGCCCACACCCCGTCCTGCCGCATGCTGCCCCACAGGCCACGGTCCAGCTGCTGCGGTCGGAAGGCGTGGCCCTGAACGACCGGCCCATTCCCCCCGAGGACCTGAGCCAGCACCCGGCGGGCTACGTGCCGGAGCCCCCGGAGGAGAACGAGGACTGGATCACGTACAGGTAGGCGGGGCCTGGGCGGCGTCGAGCGCTGCCCTGCTCACGCGGGACACGGGAATGCCGTTTTCACACAAGTGAGTGGTCCAGCACATGGAAACAAGGTTACTGGGACCTTATCTGTTTCCGGCCACGTGTCCCAGCGAGGCCATGAGTTTGGCTTGTTGATATGTGTGAGCCAACGTACGAGACGGTTTTCCCAGCGTGTTCTAACTAACCGCTGTTCGCTCTGGTTAGTCTCATTATTAGCAAAATCAGCTGTCAGGGTGGAAAACGCAGAGGGGCGGTTTCTGTGTATGGGGACGTCTCTCCAGCCCGGCCCTCGGCCAGAGCAGGGCTCCCCGCTCTCCCCTCGGGCCAGCCTGCGAGGGGACAGAGGAGGCTCTGGGAACCAGGGCCGGTTGGTGCTTGGTCAGCCCCTTCGCTGAGAGTAACTTTGAAATTCTAAAAATTTGTAAAACAAAATAGAGAAAATTTGTAGCAGAGACCGCTGGGGCTCACGAAGGTGGAACACCCTCCCCTGCACCACTCTCCACCGAGAGTGTGCCGGCTGGCTAGGGGGCAGCGGGGGGGGGGGGGCGGACGGACACTCCTGAGGACGGCAGCCTGCGTGCCCTGGGGGAGGGCGGCCGCAGAGGGTGACAGGCAGTCTGGGCAGGTGTGCAGGTGAGAGCAGGGCGGGAGCTCAGGCCTCCAGAAGCAGCCAGGCGCGGCTGCAGGTGTCCGGGGGGTCGGGGACAGACTGGGGCGGGTGGGACAGAAGAATTGGGCAGAGCAGGGCCGGGCCCAGGACGCTTGAGGTGGGACCGCAGTCGCGTGGCGGGGCTGGGTGTGCTGATGAGGCCGCCCCGGCAGGCCTGCGCCAGGAATACCCTGCACTTGCTGTCGCAAGGGCTGGTTTGGGAAAGGTGTTTCCAGCCCAGAGCTTCGTGGTATGCGTTCGCAGAACCTGGATCGAAAGCCTGTCCCAGTACGCCATGAACAACTGGCTGCGCTCTGCGGACATCGGGCAGGAGATCCAGGAGGCCTGGGTCGTGCAGAACGCCGTGGTCTACGTCCTGAACCACAACCACCACCTCATCCAGGCCGGGCGGCAGAAGGAGCTTGTGGACAGCTTGTACCACCTCCTGGGCGCCGTCAGGGACACCGGCCACAACGGGTGCGTGTGGGCCCCGCCACTCCGCGTCCATGGGCAGGGAGAGGCAGGGAGCTCAGTCTCGTCCCTCAGAGAGGACCCAGGTTTTGGGGGCTGTGGTCAGCATGTCTGTTCCGGGGCGATGGCAGCCACAGAGAGACCAGCAGGGCTCAGGGAGGTTCGCAGACCACCCCCGCGTCTCTGCCCCCTGCTGTGCGTGTGAGCCGGACGCTAACCTCTAACCGCAGGAGGCTTGCGGCAGGCGGTGGGGCGCGGGCCTAGCCTGGTGCTGGTGGGGTGAGGCCATGGTGGAGCCGTCACTCCCGCCCACGGCCCAGTCCCCGCCCTGCCGCTGCAGACACAGTCGGGAGACGGGTTTGCTGACGGCCGCGTCGCTCAGGAAAGCGACTCCGCACACGTGTCTCCTGGTCTGGTGTTCGGGGGTGGGGGGTGTTGAAAATTCTGGATTTTTTAATCCAGATGGACGTGACCATGTAAGAGACCAATGTTTTCCCAGCTAAAATCAGAAGTTCAAAGACATCGAGTTGGGTCACAATTTTATCTAAGATGAAAAGACTGTGTACTCTTTGCTGCTTTGGTTTTCAGTCTAAACAATAGGGTTTTAATTTTTTTCACCAGACGGAAGCGGGACTGAGGGAGGGAGTCAGGGTGCAGATGTGCATTATGATTTCAGATTACGCACAATAAGGAAGATGGACCGTGCCACTCACTGCTCGCTGGTGCTCTGCCCCGGCGTGAGTGAGGCCCCGGCCCACCCACGCGCCCTCGCCTGGCCCAGGAGCCCTGGGACTCGGGCGTGGCCGTCGGCGCCGGGAGCCCGGCAGCTGCGCCTCTGCCTGTAGCTCCGCTGTCCTGAGAGTTTCAGTCGTAGACGAAGATCAGACCCCCAGTCCCCACTTCCTGGCATTCGGGGACCATTTTTGACTAGTTTAAATGTTTCAGAGCTAGCGTGTTCCCTGTGAGAACCACGAAGGTTCTGATCTGGACCCGTCCACCGGGTATTGGACGTAACGGCTCCAACCGTCCTGGACGGCCCCAGGGGGTCCCGGCAGCAGGTCAGCCGGCGCCGTGGCCTTTCTGCCTCTGACCGGTTCCTCAGGGACACTCTGAGGCGTCCAGGCCGGGCCGCCGCCCTCACCGCAGCGTGAAGCCCACCTGGGGGAGGAGACGGCGTCACCTGGGCAGCAGGGACTCCTACCTGCTCTTCCCACAGGGCCCTGAGAAGGGCTCCTGAACCCACACCTAGAAGAGCAGGTAGCCCCTTTCTTGCTAAATTCCAGAGACGAGTCACATGGCGAGTCACATGGGCACACTTGGTCGCCCCAGACTGTCCCCTCAGACCCGTGGGAGCCTCAGCTGCCCCCGCCGTGGCTTCACCTCCCACGCGCTCTCTGCAGGGACCCCGAGATGCTGGCCATGCTCTGCGACACCCTGGCCCGCGGCCTGGTGATCAGCTGGATCCCCCCCCAGGCGCCGGAGAAGTCGAGAAAGTTCGTGCGACCGAATGTCTTCCACACCCCGCTGGACTCGGGAGCCGCCTCTGAGATCAGGAGCGCGGTGGAGGTAGAGCCCGCGGGCGGGAGTGGGGGGCAGCAAGCTGGGGGTGGGGAAACGTTTCATGCTGGAAGCTGCGTTAACTTGATTAATTAATTAATCGAATAAGGTTACAGTGAAGAAACTTCAATTAGATATACTTCAAATGCACATTACTTTGTAAAAATCTAACTACTACGTGCTTAATAATTTCAAAAAATGAAAACTATTTGCTAATTCTGAAGTTATTAGGTTGGTGCAAAAGTAATTGCAGTTTCAGACCGTGAATTTTAAATCATTCTAACTAGGCTCAAACACGTCTTTATTAATCAAAATAGGAAACATTACAATCAACACATTTTTGCCAACAAGAAATAAGTTTGTTTATTCCTGTAGCATAAAAATCCGTGCTTTGAGATTCGACAAACTCTCGGAAAGCATTTTCTGCGTCCTGCTGGCTGTGGAAGCGTCTTCCCTGCAAAAAGTCGTCGAGATGCTTGAAGAAGTGGTAGTCGGTTGGCGAGAGGTCAGGTGAACATGGCGGATGAGGCAAAACTCCGTAGCCCAATTGCTTGAACTTCTGAAGCGCTGGTTGTGCGACTCGCAGTGGGGTGTTGTCGTGGAGAAGAACTGGGCCCTTTCTGGTGGCCAGTGCCGGCTGCAGCCCTTGCAGTTTCGGTGCGTCTCATCGATTCGCTGAGCAGACTTCTCAGATGGGATGCTGGGATTCAGAGAGCTGGAGTGGATCAGACCGGCAGCGGACGAAACAGTGACCGTGACCTTTTTTTGGCGCAAATTTGGCTTTGGGCCGTGCTTTGGGGCTTCTTTTTGGTCCAACCGCTGAGCCGGTCGTCACTAGTTGTTGTATAAAATCCACTTTTCCTCTCACATCATGATCCAATCGAGAAATGTTTCGTTGTTGTGTATAAGAAGAGAAGATGACACTTCAAAATGACAATTTTTTTGATTTTTGTTCATCTCACGAGCTTTTTCACCTTTCCAGTTTGCTTCCGATGCCAAACGACCGCAGAATGGTCGACCCGAGCTCTTCTTCAGCAACCTCTCGTGTGGTTGTGAGGGGATCAGCTTCCACGATTGCTCTCACCTGGTCGTTGTCAACTTCCGATGGCCGACCACTGCGCTCCTCATCTTCACGGCTCTCGTCTCCTTTACAAAACTTCTTGAACCCGCCACCGCACTGCATGCTCAGCAGTTCCTGGGCCAAACGTGTTGCTGATGTTATGAGTTGTCTCTGCTGCTTTATGACCCATTTTGAACTCGAATAAGAAAATCGCTCGAGTTTGCTTTTTGTCTAACATCATTTCCGTTGTCTAAAATAAATACAAAACAAACAGCAAGTAATAAGTCATTAGCAAAAAATAAATAAATAAATAAAATGAGAAATGTGCATTAAAACAATGTATAACATCATCACATTTATTTAAGAATGTATTCCAATACCAAATGGCCAATTTCCACAATGCTAAAACCACAATTACGGTTGCACCAACCTAATACCTAACCTTTTAATGATTTTGTGGTATCTGCTTTTTGTTGGAAAGCATTTGAATATGTGGTTGCAGCGTGGAGGTCTGCAGTTTCAGTTGATCTGGTAGATGGGTATCAGTCATTTGTGACCTTAGGGTTGTCTTGATTTGGGTTAGGTAGGAGAAGGTAGATTCCCAGCAATAAGTGGTTGGAAAGCAAGAAAGCATTTTTCGAGCAGGTTGCGGAAGGCACGGGTATTCCACTGCAGTTTTCCATATTTCAACTGGATCCTTCTTAGCATCAATAATGACTTTAAAATGTCATCTACTGAGAGCTCAATAATTCCATCTGTAGTTCTTTAGGTGCCTTGGGGATATCAACTAGGTGAGGCTGAAGTGCTGATCTGAGTGTGATGTCATGATGCTCAAAGTCAGTGAACCTTTCATCGTATTCTCCAATTAATAGGCCAATAACAGCTGCGTATTCTTCAAACGATTCACATATATCATCCTGCTCATCAGTGACCTTTGCTAACTGGGGAAAATGTTCTTCGGAAATTTCCTTTTGAAGAAAAATTGTTTTGAAAAAAGACAGCTTTCTTCAAAATGCTTGGATTTTTTGCCACGTATCATATATAGTTTTACCTTGCAAAGAAATATTCAAGTCGTTTTGATTTGATGTCACACAGAAATGCTGCATTCCTATAGAAATCTTCTTTCAGTATTCACATAGCTGATTCTGTCCTTCATAAAATTTAACTGTCTGTTCTCACAGAGATAAAATTTTGGCTATCACCTGTCCCTGCCATAGCCAACGCTCTTTAGAATGACATGGCAAATCCACACTGCATACCTCACCCTTCACCTTTAGCGCGTTAGGAAACTGACGATGCCATGTTGCATTTGCACAAACGTAGTTAACAACACTTATAACTTGTTGCAAAGTGTCACTTAAAATAGCTTTAGCACAGAGATTCTGCTGATGCAAGATACAATGAAAAGAAACGAGAGCATCTGGATCTGTTAATACCTTTTTAATCTGTGCAATAAACCCTTCATGTTTTCCTGTCCCGGAAAGTGCACCGTCTGTGCATACACTCACTAAATTTGCCAATTCAGTCCAACTTCATGACATTTATCTTGAAAGTTGTTGAAGATATCTCTTCCCCGTGTTCTGTTCGCAAGAGTGCCCACAGCAAGTAACTCTTCGTAGCAGAGAAAATCTTCTGTTATGACCCAATGACGTATAAAACCTGTGCCAGGTCAGTAGTACCAGTTGATTCATCCAAAGCAATTGAATATATATTTTCCTTTTGAAGTAGTGCATGAAGTTGTTCTGTTAAGTTGAAGGCTAATTCATGCTGCTGATCAGTTGTGGTTCTCCTTGAAAGAGGCAGCTGTTTGGACTTTGAAACGTTATCGAGGTTTCAGCATCCTGCAGCTTTGACGATGCATTCTTTCACAATTTCTGCATCACTGAATGGCTTTCCCTCCCCTCTACCCCCCAGTATATAGCTACAGTCAAAAGTTTGCACTTAACACATGTGGCCTTCAGACGGCAGGTTCCCACCCCTGGTCAAAACCGTCACCAGGTGGAAGCAGCAGAGCAGGGGGCGCAGGGGACCCTCGGGGCCCAGGGCGCACCTCAGCCGGTTGTGCCCGAGCAGAGCAAACTGTGAGAAGCACAGACTTGCCCCTCTGAACGCAGCAACCGCAGTAAAACCGTGACAACCCACGTGCCGAGTGTGCAGGAAGGTCAGGAGGACCTCAGAGGGCCGCCGTCGGCAGAGTCTATCCTAACGGATGTGAATCTTGTTGTCATCCACAGTAAAGGAGAAGAGACGACGTTCTCAATGGATGTTGTAAAGTGTCTGACGATCCATCACCCATTTCCAACTCTACAGAATCTTATAAAACCTGGAAGAAAAGCAAGTCTAAGAAATGCGCTGGGCGCCCCCCGTGCTCCAGGTCCACTGTGGGCCGCAGCCAGGGTGGGGGAGGCCCTCGCGCCACAGGCCCTCGTGAGGACGGCTGACCCAGGCGCGCTGCTGCCGTGGGCTCGGTGGGTCGCGTGGCTCGTCAGGAGGGACCCCGGGGGCCCAGCCTGGGCTGGCCAGGAGGCCACGTCGGGTCTAGGGCTTGGTTCTCGGAAGGCGCAGGGGGCCGGCTCCAGGGACCTGCAGGGAGCAGGACTCTCGGCTGGAAAAGGAGCAGGTGAGGAAGGAAGGTCGGGCATCGGGGCAGCCCAGGGCCCGTGTGGGCCACAGGGCGTGGACCTGATCTGGATCCGGATACAAAAGAGAAGACCCTGAGCCGATGATCCGTGAGAATGTGGAACAGCACAGGCACAGAGACAGGAAGGCTCAGCACAGGGCGACATCCGGGAGGAAGAGTCGGGGCAGAAGACGTCTTCACAGCCAGCGACAGCTCCGTGGAGCACGCGGAGCCAGACGGGCAGCTGCGCTGTGGCGGGACGGTGGCCCCAGCTACGAGCCTGCGGGCTGAAGAGGTGGAACGGCCCCGTCAGCCCGCAGGGGCAGCTCACCCAGGCGTGTGGCAAGGAGCAGGGTTCACGTTACGCTTCAGTGTGAAAGAGCAGCCAGAGAGTGATGTCCCAGGTCGCGAACGGGCACTGGGTGGCCGGCACTCACTGCGCCGGACCAGGCTCTGAGCAGGGCCTCGCCGGCCCTCATGAGACCCGCACCCGGGCTGTTCCCCGTTGGAGAGGAGGGAACTGGGCACCTGGCAAGCAGGGAAGGGAGCTGGGCGCGGCCCAGGCTCACACCCCCCCGCCCTGCGCAGATCCCAGCCCCCAGCCCCAGTGGGGGAGGGGCTGGCTCAGCGGGTGAGCCCCCACCGGCTGCCCCCCCACCGGGGCTTTGGGCCGTTTCCGACCTGCGCCCGGGGTGCTGGTGGGAGCCTGCCACGGGCGTGTGCTGCATCCTCAGCCCGGGCGGGGGCTTCTCCGACCCCAGGCTTGCCTTGGCGCCCGCCGCAGGCGTGAGGACCGGTGTGCGTTTGAACCTCCTTCCCGCTGGACCAAGGCCTAGGTCCGTTCGTCTTTTAGCGTTTGGTGATTTGGATCTTGGCTCAAGTTCCCCTACGTAGAATTCAGTTTTTGTAACAGAGGATGCATCCGTCCTAGGTCTGTGAGTTTGCCTTGGACCTGACCAACGGGACTGTGCCTGAGGAGCTCGTCCCCACCCGTGCCCGGCAGCGGCTCATCGCCACCTGGGTGAAAGCCAAGCAGCTGCTGCAGCAGCAGATTGGGCCACGGCTGGGCACAGAGGAGCAGGTGGGCAGGTGGGGGGCTGGGCGCAGGTGGGCAGGTGGGGGGCTGGGCGTGGGCGGGCCACACCACGCCCTGGTGCCTGGTGCTTCGCCGGTGCACTGTGGACACGTCTGAGACAGGGCAGGGGCTTGCAGGGAGCGTCCCTGGGGGCCACTTCGCTTCCACTCTTCACGGCACCATCGGGGATGTCTGGGGACTTGCTTTCCCCTGCCCCTGGCCGCCCTCAAGACAACAGGTGGCCTCGTCTGCCTGCGCACCTGCAGGGTCCCAGCGCTGCTGCGGATGCTGCCTGTCACCGAGGCCTTACCTGGCGGCTCACCCAGGCCAGACTGTCACCTCCTTGGCGGGGCCAGGGCCCAGCTGTGAACACTAAGGGCTGTGGGAGCAGGAGGCCAGGGAGGGGGTCCTGGGGAGCAGGGAGCTCAGGGTGGCCTCAGGAGCATCTTGGCTCCTACAGAGAAGGCTGGGGGGACACAGACAGAGCCCACTGGAGAGTCCCACAGGGCACGTGCTGGACAGGTGGCCCCTGAGCCAGGACGGGGCGGGCAGGAGGTTGCAGGGCCTGGCGCAGGAGGGGCCCACACAGGCCAGGAGATGGAGGGGGTCACCTTGCCTGCCCTGGGCAGCCCCCGCCCCACAGCCCAGTGGTCTCCTGGCAGCTGGGGTCACCCAGCTGTCGGGTGATACTGCTATTGGCCGTGGGGTCACGCAGCCTCCTGGCCTTCTGATGGGCCAAGATGGTAGCGGGAGGCAGACACGTACACAGGAGCCTGAGGTGTAAACGCTTCCCATTTGTAGTCCGATTATTGCCGTAAGGCAAACATTGCACAGTGTCAAATTCAAGACTATTCCAGCTCCCTCCACAGCCCCGCCCCCCCGCCACCCCACGCCCGGCACCCACGGGCTGACACATGCTCGATGCTTCCCTCCTGCAGGGCACCAGTGAGGACATCGGCTGCGTGACCAGGGTCCTCGTGGCCTTGGAGATGTACTCGTGCAACGGGCTGGGCCTCATGGACTTCACTGTCCCCTCGCTGGCCCAGGTGGGTGTCACCTGCTGTCCTGGGCCTGCAGGGGCCGCGTGGGGCAGACTCCAGCCCAGGGGGCCGGGGAGGTAGGGGCCCAGAGGGTCCTTCCTGAGGGGTGGAATTCACACCCGGCCCCACCCTCCTCACGCTCCCCCCCAGGACTTAGTCTGGTGTGTGGCGCGTCCCTGCCTCCCGCGTGAGGAAAAGTGCTTTCCCTGCGCAGACCCTCTGTGCTCGTTTTACGGTGCAGGAGATCCCGCAAAAGTCATGCCTCTGTTTGGGATAACATGCTAGACGGTCCATGTCCAGATAGATGTTAAGCTGTGCTTAAGGCCTGGCCAGAAAGAACAAGCAAGCGTGTGTGCTCACAGCACAGTCCCGTGCGGGCCCGCGTTGGGAAGCCGTTGTCGCTGACACGATATCCCTTCTCCTGCCGCCCGGAAGCTGGTGAAAATGGCCTCCGAGTGCAACTGGCCGGAACCCCTGGTGGAGCTGCAGACCCTGACGCGGCTGACCCACTTCGCCCACGCGGCGCGTGACCACGAGATCACCATGGCCTGTTCTCACAAGGCCATCCAGTTGGGCATCAAGTACCTGAGGACATTTGGCCCGTAAGTATCCCCATCACCAAGTGGACCAGTCCCCGACAGTGGGCAGGGACTAGAGCCTCGTCCCAGATCACAGGACCACGTGCGGGAGGGTCTGAGATCACAGGTCCACGTGCGGGAGGGTCTGGGATCACAGGTCCACGTGCGGGAGGGTCTGGGATCACAGGTCCACGTGCGGGAGGGTCTGGGATCACAGGTCCACGTGCGGGAGGGTCCGAGATCACAGGTCCACGTGCGGGAGGGTCCGAGATCACAGGTCCACGTGTGGGAGGGTCTGACATCACAGGTCCACGTGTGGGAGGGTCTGACATCACAGGTCCACGTGCGGGAGGGTCTGAGATCACAGGTCCATGGGTGGGAGGGTCCGAGATCACAGGTCCACGTGTGGGAGGATGCAAGATCACAGGTCCACATGTGGGAAGGTCCAAGATCACAGGTCCACGTATGGGAGGATCTGACACCACAGGTCCACTTGCTGGAGAGTCTGAGATCACAGGTCCAAGAGGGGGGTCTGTGAGGTGCAGGCTGAGGACTGGTTCTGAGCCGAGTGCAGCCCACCTCACCAGGTCCCAGGGTCCTGCCTGCAGGTCTCCCACAGGCCTCACCCAGGCACATGACAGCCTCCACCTCCGCCCTGTGTCCTCCCGGACCCCACGGTCAGCAGGGCCCCTGCAGAGAGCTGGCTTAAGGATCCTGAGGCCACATTTGCCTCGGCAAGGAGGAGCGTGCGGCCCGCCGGCCATGCACGTGACATGCACAGAAGCGGTGTGTCAGTCCGTTCAGGCTGCTGGGACAAAGTGCCACAGGCTGGGGACTCACACAGTAGGAATTTTTGGCTCCCAGAGGCTGGAAGTCCAGGATGAAGGTGTAGGAGGTCGGGGATTCGGGGAGGACCTGGGTCCTGGCTGGTGATGGCACCTGTCGTGTGTCCTCTCTTGGCGGAGGGACAGGGCAGGGCTCAGGGGCCTGCAGAAGCGGCTAACCCCTTTGCGGGGCTCCACCTGCAGGACCTACCGCTCCTGAGGCCCCGCCTCTGACAGTGTCACTGGGGCTGTGGTTGCAGCGTGTGAACCTAGTCCGCCACGTGCTATCCGCGACAGACGGCAGCTTTGTTTGAAGCGGTTCTGAGTAGCAAGCGCGGACATTGAATAACTCTGCGCATGAGCAGGGAGGAAGGACACACCTTCCACCTAGACCTCGCCGTCCCCTCGGCTACCCAGCCCTGCTGCCGCCATCGCGGGTGGCCCGGTCTTCACGGCTCCCGCGGCCGGTGCGCACAGCGCTCTGCCAGCGCTCAGTAGCCGCAGCACTTGCGCTTCTCCTCCATTCCTGAACATGCTTTCAGTTTGTCGCTGTTATAAGTTTTCTGCAGCAAGGATAGTTTTCCTCGAGGTTCTTCCTTCTGGCTGATTACCTCAAGGACAAAATCTCTGACCCAAAGGCAACGAAGCTGTTTCCTGTGGCCAAATGGCCAGTTTGGTCACCTGCGGCCAGATCCAACGATGCCTCCCCCGCCCGCGTCCCATCTCCCGAGGCCTCGAGGTCCTCGCGTACGATGACACCAGCCACGTGTCAGCATGACGTTGGGACGGCAGGATGCCTGCCTTGTGCAAGGTCATGGTCCCTGCAGGTACAGGGACAGCAGGGTCGCCTGCCCTGCCCGCGGTGACGGCTGGGGCCGGGGGCCGAGGCCCAGCTGCGTGGAAGCCCAGTTCTGGTGCCGAGGGCTTTTCAGCACGAGTGTCCCTCCCACCAGAACAGTACGGACATGACGGTTCTTTCTGGTGGTGCTTCCGTTGGGCACCCCTCTCTCGAGGCTAGAATTCATTTTTTCTCGACACGCCATCATCAGAGTCAATCAGCTTCCAGAAGGGAAGCTCACACGCTTCTCACGTCCCACCACAGCCCCCCAGGCAGGTGGGCCAGAGCGTCCCCAGCCACGCAGCTCAGGCGTGTACAGGCCCCACGTGCTGCCGCCCCGCCCCTCCGTCACCGGGGTGCTGAGCCCGGAGCACGTCCCCTGATGGCGCTTGGGCCCCCCCGAGACCAGCTCTCCCCCCTCGCTGCAGAGCCGCACCTGCCGCAGACACGCCGGAGCCCCGTGCGGAGACGCCCATCCGTGCGTCAGCTACGCCGCCGGGAACCGACACGCCTCGGGCTGGAGAGGCCCCTCAGCGCTGAAGAGAAGATCGGGTTGAACGGGAAAATCACTCTGGGTGAAACAGACCATTCAAGGACCAGAAGAAAACGTTTCAAAACAAAAACGAACCTTGCGGGTGTTTGAGGAGCTGCAGCGCCTACGGCGTGGTGTGTGGAGGGAGCCAGAAGTCAAGCAGCGAGGGCTGGAAGACGAGGTCGAGGACGACTTAGGAAGTGGGTGGAGAGGGGCAGAGGGGCGGGGAGGGTGCCGGGCCCACACGGGAGGCTGAACGTCCTGCAGGCTGCGGCCCTTCCTCCAGAGCGCTCGGGCCCAGAAGTGTCCGGGTCCGGATGTTTTCAGATTTTGGAATATTTGCATTGTACGTACCGGAGTCTCTCTCACCCAGAACTCCAAAATCTGAAACGCTCCCATGAGCATTTCGTTTGGGCATCATGTCAACACTCAAAGAGCTTCTGATTCTGGCACATTTCAGATTTCAGATCAGGGGCTCTCTGCTGCGGTGGACGCCAGAGAGAGCGAAGGCCGGGGCGCGTGAGAAAGGGGGCACGGGGACGTGCCCGGGCACCAGTGCGTGGAGAAGGGCCCGCGGGCGTGTCTAAGGAAGCCACGTCCAGGGAGCAGGAAGCACAAGGGCAGCACCCTTCTCGGCAACCACTGCTAGAAGCTAAAAGAAAGTGGAACGTCCAAGCGGAAATAGCTTTCAGCCTAGAATTCTAACGCTCAGTCAAGCATAAGGTTAAAGTAAAGCCAGTTTTAGACAGACAGGTGCACAGAGAATGTACTTTCCATACACCTTTCTAGAAAGTTCCTTGAGGGTATGATCTAGAAAAACAAGGGGATGAGCCAAAGAAGAGAAAGACGTGGGTGCTGGAGATCATGGATTCCATCCAGAAGAGTAAGCGAGAGCCGCCTCCGGCAGGGGGCAGGGTGAGGGTGGCCCCGTGGGGACCTGCGCTCAGACCAGGTCACGAGCGTAGTGACGGAGGGGGCAGGGCCTGAGGAGCCGGTTGGAGTTCCCAGCTTGACTGTTGAGCAGAAAACGCTTGCGCACTCGTGGTTATTGACGCTCCACTCCGAGGGTGAGCACTTAACTGAAGGAGTTGATCAACCTGGCAACAGAGAAGTGAAGTGAAGCACAGACGGGCCACGTCGGGGCCACGAGAGAGCGTGAGCAGCAAGTGCACGTGGTGTGCTCGCCCTCACCCACGGTGTTGCCGGTGCTGCTTGCCGGGGTCCCAAGGACAGGAGGCTCGGTTGGTGTTTCAAGGCGCAAAGAGAATCGTTGGGGGAATCGGGACGATGATGTAACCAGCTGTCGGCAGCCGGGAAGGGCATCGGGAGGGTCCGTGTCCGCTGAGCTCCCGCCCGTTGTGCGACTCCTGTAGGTGACACTGAGGATCAGTCAGTGTGGAACCTGGTGGAAGCCACTTAGCTGCAGGCAGAAGACAGGGCCAGAGACGCAGAGTCGCTTCTCCAGGGCAGGGCTGGGAACTGGGGCAGGGCAGCGGTCCTCAGAAATTATTCCCAAAAGAAAGAAACTGCAAAGACACGGTCTTAGAAAGAGCCGGTGTGTGAGGGCTGCTGCCCGGATCCTTCTCGCAACCGGCTTAAACACCATTTCACCATTTCACCGCATGCTGCGGGCGTGGGCCACGATGACACTCGGGCCCTGACTCGGAAATTGGGTTTGAGTTCTCAGAAGTAGTTCTTATAATAAATAAGCTACAAATGTAAATACGTACGTACGGTGACATATAAAAGGACAGGCCACTCGAGACTATAGAAATTTGATTCCGCTTTGGGGCTCTTGTAGACCATCGCTGTCCTCCAGCGGCGGCCGGTGCCCGCGCACTCAGCAGGAAGGCACCTGCATGTGGGTCTAGCTGTGGTTCGGCGCCGTCCCGGCCTCCGCCATGTCCAGGCTGGTCCCGGTGCTGGGAGACGCGGGAGGTGCCACGAGGAGCGGCTCCGCACCCAGTCAGAGATGCCACGCGACGTGGTCGTCTCGCTGTCCCTGCTGGGGCCCCGGACCCATCCTCGCTCCACTTGCCCTGCAACTGATTGACTTTTATAAAAGATACTTTTAAAAAGAATTACACATATTTCAATTTTTCATTCTATTTTTTTTTCCATTTTTAAAGTTATGCGTAGAAATTCTAGTATGGAATTTGTCACAGTGGATTTTATGATAACATCTTACAATAATAGTGAAACTAGTTTTCAGTCCTTGGTGAAAAATAGTGAGGTTACTAATCAGTGTTCTCAACGGTGAGGGTGGAACTACCAACACCAGTTTCATGTTTGTACCATTAACGTAAAGGAATATGTGTTAATAAGAAATTTCACGTAGATCCCTAAGATAGACCCAAAGTCGGTGAGAGAAAATAGTCTCAGAATGTCATTTGGATTTTCCTACTTTGTTCAACATTTTAATTTAAATTCGTCACCAACAGCGTTGGATCTCTATATAAATTTTAAGGTGACTTTTTATACCAGTTCTGGCCTGGAAAGAGTGAGGATATCTTGTGCGGTAGAAACAAAGCAAAACAAAACTGTAAAGTTGAAAAAAATACACGAAACCATCGTTTCCAGGCACCGGACAGCAATGGTCCGAGGCAGAGATTCTTGCAAGAAGGGACCGTGGCAGGCGGGGGCGGGGGGTGCGATTCGCTCACGTTCTGCCCGGGAGCTTCCCAGACGGCAGCCCGGGTCGCGGGAAGAGATGCGCCGCCATCTGTGGACGCCCCCCACGCGGGGCCGCGGGCAGAACGGCAGTGTGGGGGGAGCCCAGTGGGCACTGCGCAGTGGCACCTCTCCCGTGGCTCCGTCCCCCAGGGTGGAGGCCCGGCTGGTGGCGGAAATGCTCTGCGCGGCCGCGTGCACCCAGGGCAGGAGCATCATGGAAAACCTGAAGGGACGGAAGCAGCTGCGGCTGTCGGCCGCCAAGGCCTTCCTGGACAGCGCCAGGTGCGGGGACAGCGGGAGGCCGGGGACCCCTGTGCTCAGAGCCGCGGGGGGTCCTGCGGGCCCAAAGCGGGGTCTCCGGCCTGTGAGGGGCCGGGCCGGCTGGGGCGGCTAGGGCCATCATGCACTCAGCCCTTGGGGACAGGGCGGCGAGCCCCAGGCGGGTGGAGGGGGTGCCCGTGCCGGGTCACCCGCGTAGGCACCCTGTAGCCCGAACTCGGCACGCGCAGGGATGGCCCCGCCCGCGCCCGTCCTGGCAGGGGGTGGCGCACCGCAGGGTACCCGAGGCAGCCGAGCCTCCGCACCCCAGCGGCTCCGGGGGCAGCAACGCCACCCCCATCACCACCAGCCTCTCGCAGGTTCGGGGGCGTCGCAGGCAACAGCGCCCTGGTGATGGTGGCCGCGCGGCACCACTGGAACACCTGGCTGCCCCTGCTGTCCTCCGCGGCCAACAGGAAGAAGGCCAAGGCCGGCGTCCAGCGGATCGTCAGCATCATCAACAAGATGGACGCCCGGAAGCAGGTGGGCCGGCACGGTGGGCCCGGGGGTCTTCCCGAGAGGACCGGACATGCCAGGGGCAGACACACCCCCAGGAGCCGGGGGCACAGCAACCCCACACCAGGCGCAGCTCCCTGCTGAGCTCAGCGCTCTGCTCTGACCCCAGACACCAGCCCTGGGGGGACTGAGAACGCTGGGGGTGCGGGAGGGGGATGGGAGAGGCCCGGCCCTGCCTGTGGCGGGGCAGAGCGGTGCTGCCAGGACGAGGCGCAGAGGCTGGGGCTGGGGATGGCGCCAGAGGGGACGGCAGAGGGGTGCGCCCGCTGGCGTGGGCTGGCCGGCCCCGAGCGCAGACTGGCCGGTGGACCTCTGGGTGTGTGTCCCTGCCCAGAAGAGCCTGAGAAGCACTGAGGACAGGGACGAGGGACTGAAACCCGGGAAAGGATCCTGGGAAGAGAGAAGTATCTGGGGTGTGTTTCAGGGAACCCCCGACCACCCACGAGCCTCGGGCCCACGTGACCTGCTGTGCCGCGGACACTGCCTAGGGTGGGGGTGGGCTCAGGTGTCGGACCAGCGCCGCACTGAGGACCTCAGGACGGAGGACAAGGCCCGGCGTGTCCTGGGGAGACCGGCCAGCTCTGGGCTCCCTCCTGCCGGCCTCGCTGTGACCAGGAGGCAGGCGTCAGCCACCGGGCGCCCACAAACCAGAGCAACACGGCCCGAAAGCTCCAGTGGGAGGGGGAGGATGGGGAGTGGGAGACGTGCTCCCCGCCCAGCCAGCTCCGCGGCCTGACTCCGAAAGGGCCGAGCTGGGCCGTGTGGGGCCTCCGTGCTGTGCAGCCGGCCCAGGCCCGGCGCCCACTGGCCCCCTCTGGGGAGCTCCCCGTCACCCCAAGTGTGGTTGTGGCAAAGGGCCTTCCTGGGCCGGCTCCCCAGGCGTTCGGGACCCAGCTCTGCTCCAGGGCTGCCTCTGGAGCTGGAACCGTGAGCACGGCCCAGCCAGGCTGCCCTCCTGCCGCCCAGCTACCCGCATGTGGCGTCCCGGGGGCAAGACGCAGTTCCTGGGCCCAGGGCTTGGCCCCCCACGGGGCGGCCGGCACGTTTCCTGCCTGCCCAGGGAGACCAGGGCCGGGTTTGTTGCTTGTGGCCAAAGGAGGCCGTGGTGGGAGGTGTGCGGTTCTGGTTTTGGTTCTCCGACAACTCCGCGTGCTTGTGGGCCGTCTGCGCACCTTCCACGGAGAGATGCCCACTCGAGCCCTTTGCCTGTTTTCAAGCGGGGCTGTTTGTTGTTGTCGCGCTGTAGGAGTTTTCCGTGTCCTGGGTGTTCCGTCCTCGTCAGACACCTGACGAGCGCGTTTCCTCCCACTCCCCGGGCGACTCTGCGCTCGGCTCACCGTGTCCTTGGACGCACAGAGTTCATCATCGTCATGAAGTCCGACAGACCCAGCTTCTGTTCTGTCACCTGTGCTTTTGTGTCTTGTCCACGACGTCATCGCCAAGTCCAACGCCGTGAAGATTTTCTCCCATGTTTTCTTCTTAGAATCTTGTAACTTTAGCCCTTAAGGTTAGATAGCTCATGCATTGTGAGTTAACTTTTATACGTAGTATAAGGTCAGGGTCCAATCTCATCCTCTTGTGTGTGGACGTAAGCTTTCCCAGCGAAAGGCTGTCCCGTCCCCACTGCACGGCTGTGGCGCCCTCACCGAAGGCAATTCGGCCACATGTCAGGGTTCATTTCCGGCTTTCTGTTCCCTCCCGTTAGTCCACGTGGGCATCATCGTGCGCGGGCCGTGCTGTTCTGACTTCCGTAGCTTCGCGACACGTTCCTAAGTCAGGAAGTGCTCCAGCTTCATTCTTCCTCGAGGTTGTTTTGGCTGTTTGGACCCAGTTTCAATTCCATACAAATTTGAGGATTGATTTTTCTATTTTTTAAAAAAGGCTGTTGAAATTTTGGTAGGAATTTTCAGACCACTTTGGGTAGAGTTGACATCTTAACGATGATGATTCTTCCTATCCATGAACACACACACACACACACACACACACACACGGTATTGTCATTTATTTGGGTGTTTAATTTCTTTCAGCAACACATTATAGTTTTCAGCACATAAGTCTTTCACCTCTTTGGTTGATTATAAACACCAATGCTCTGTCTTAGCTCGGGCTGCCGTGACAACATACCACAGACTGGTATTTATTTACACAGCAGAAATTTATTTCTCACGGTTCTGGAGGCTGAAGTCCAGGATCCGGTTTCCGGCTCGGCTGGGCTCTGGCGAGGCCTTCGTCCTGGCCTGAGGACGGCCGCCTTCTCCCTGCGTCCTCACGGCACACAGAGGAGAGCGCGAGCTCCGAAGGCCCCACCCTCAGGAGCTCATCTGACCCTAACACCTCCCAGGGTCCCAGCCACTGAGGATTAAGGCGTCAACGTAGGAATGTGGGAGGGACACGGTTCAGCCGGTAGCAGGCTCTAGGTTCCTTTTGGGATTGTTCATTGCTCGTGAACAAAAATGCTACCTGCTGGGCGTGGTGGCTCACACCTGTAATCCTAGCACTCTGGGAGGCCGAGGCAGGAGGATCACTCAAGGTCAGGAGTTCAAGACCAGTCTGAGCAAGAGCGACACCCCATCTTTACTAAAAATGGAAAGAAATTATCTGGACAGCTAAAAATATATAGAAAAAATTACCTGGGCATGGTGGCACATGCCTGTAGTCCCAGCTACCTGGGAGGCTGAGGCAGGAGGATCGCTTGAGCCCAGGAGTCTGAGGCTGCTGTGAGGTAGGCTGATCTTATGGCACTCTAGCTTGGGCGACAGAATGAGACTCTGTCTCAAAAAAAAAAATAAAACAAACAACACACACACACACACACACACACACACACACACGCAACTGAGTGTTGTATGTTGGTCTTATGCCCCGCAACTTTCCTGAATCCATTTATTGCCTCTGGTAGCTTTCCTGCGGATTCATAAGGATTTTGTACATACGGGATCGTGTCATCTGGGAACAGAGACAGTTTGCCTCTGCCTGTCTAACTCAGACACCTTTAACCCTGTTTCTCATCAGACAGCTCTGGCCGGAGCCCCGGCACAGTGCCGCAAGGGTCCTGCCTCTGCCGTGACGCGGGGGCGCGTCAGTCTTCCCCACTGCGCACGGCATTAGCTGCGGGTTTTCCATAACGGCCTTTATCCTGCTGAGGAACTTTCCCTCTGTTCCTAGTTCTCTGGGGGTTTGCCTTACGAAAGGGTGTTGGGTTTTGTCCACCTTCCCCATCAATCGAGATGACCGTGCGGCGTTTCTCCGTGGTCCTGTTAACTGCTGTGCTATGTCGATGATCTCCCAGTGCTGAACCACCCGGCATTGTGGGGTAAATCCCCTGGTCCCCATGAACGGTGTGTTTAACGCACCGTTGGATTTGACTTGTTCGTGTTTTGTGGGGGTTTCTTCGTCTGTGTTCGTAGGGAGCGTTGGTCTGTCTCGCTCTGTCCTTGTGACGGCTTTATCTGGATTTGGCATCAGGGAGAGGCTGGCCTCGCAGAACAGGTTAGGGAGTGTTTGTCCCCAGGCTTTGCTGCCAGCACTTCCGCGAACATTTGGTGGGATCCACTGGTCACGCGTCTGGCCTGGGACCTTCCTTACTGGGAGGTTTCTGATCGCTGATCGATCTCTCTACGCTGTTGCTTCTTGAGTCAGTTTAGCTCGCTCGTGTGTTTCAGGGAATTTGTCTGTTTCTTCTAGACCGTCTGATCTGTCGGTGCGCAGTTGTTCCCAAGATTCTCTCATAATCCTTCTTCTCTCCCTGCGGCCGGCGCTCGTGTCCCGCTTTCCTCGCTGCCCTCTCCTCGTCCGTCTGGCCAAAGGCTGGACCATTTGTTGATCTTTGAAAGAACCGACTTTCAAACAATAGATTTTCTCCGTTGTTTTTCTACTGTCTGTTTTATTTTCATCTCTGCTTTAATCTTTATCAGTCCCTTCCTTCCACTTTTGGGTTAGGGTGTTCTTTTCCTAGCTCCTTAAGACACAAAGTTGGATTGTCGATTTGAGATCTTTCTTCTTTTTTACTGTGGCACGTGCCGCTCTGGACTCCCCTCACAGCAGAGCTTTGGCTGCAGCCCCCACGTGTCCTCCAGCGCGGTTTTCACCCCACCGGCTTAGAGCCATAAACCAACTCGGGTATTTCGTGTCACTGGAGAAACTACACGTCATGTTAGGGGAGCAGTCTCCCTGTGCGCGTGTGTGCACACGTATGTGTGCAGCATGCATGCATTGCGTGCCTGTGCGTGTGCACGTGTGTTGTAGTGTAATTAACCTCACCCTGGAAAGTCTTAGAGTTGAGACGTGATTTTGCTGCGACTTAGTTTTCAGAAATTTAGCTGCAATCTCTGTAATTAGATGTGGGGCCCAAGGAAAAGCAAACGGTGAAAGGATCAGACGCAGCTCTGACATGCGTGCGTTGCTCTTCATCGCGCCTTAGGAGAAAGGGAGGACCCTGCTCCTGCACCAGTGGCCCACCGCGGACTTCCAGAGCGCCGGGAGCACCGAAGGCTACTTCCTCCCAGGTGGGTGGACGCGAAACAGACAGATCCACGGGCTCCCGGGAACAAGGAAAGGGAGGGACTTGAGAACAAGTCACACGCTCAGTGCTTTTAAATCCCGCACCTTGATAAAGCCGCCTGAACCGCGCCGGTTGCCGTGGTAACATCCGTTCGGCATTTATTGCCGGGGGCGGGGTCCTCAGTGCTTTGCGCAGTGACCTCGGGGATCCCGGTCTGCACACGCAGAAGCCAGAGCCGGCACCGTCCGGCCCTCCAGGGCTGCGCAGCCGAGTCCAGAGCAGGCGCCTGGACCTGCGCGGTGGCTGCCTGGGAGCCTGGCCTCGGCTGTGCCGGCAGACAAGGCCTATTTCCACTTCCATACGAAGGCGGAGACGTTCTCCTGCACTAAATGGCCCAAAGAACAAACGAACAAAAACATACGGATCTTAGAGGACTGTACTTTATAATACTCGTCCATGTTTATGGGAAAACATGATTATCTGCTAAAACATAATCATCCCCGTTAATGTAAGAGTTCTAACATGTGTTTGGGAAATGTTTAAGGCTGTGGAACAGAGCATCGTGCCTTGAGTATTTTAGTCTGTTTAAAATACGGTTGATTTAAAGTAGTGAACACAAACACGGCCGGGTGCAGTTACGTACTGAGCTGAGCACGGCCCCAGCAGTGTGAGCGTTGGCTGGTCTGCAAGGACAGACGTGGGGACCAGTCAGCAGCCCAGGCCCGGGATGTCCGGACGCAGGAGAAGAGGCTGTGCGGTGAAGCATCAGGCCTCTGGGGAGAACCTGGAAGTCACATGACATGTTACTCCATTCTCCAAAATAAGAATTTTTAAGTAATTTTAAAAATTCAAATGCTAGGAAAAAATATCAGAAAGTAGAATTGAACAAAGCAGATATTTTGTGGAAAGAGGCACACTTTCAAATGTATAAAAATCTGGCCGGGCACAGTGCCTCATGCCTGTAATCCCAGCACTTTGGGAAGGCTGAGAATTGAGCCCAGGAATTCGAGACCAGCCTGGGCAACACAGTGAGACCCCATCTCTACAAAAATTTTTTTAAAAAAATTAGCTGGATGCAGTGGTGCATGTCTGTAGTCCCAGGTACTTGGGAGGTTGAGGCAGGAGGATCGCTTGAGCCCAGGAGTTGGAGGCTGAAGTGAGCTGTGATGGTGCCACTGCACTCCAGCCTGGGCGATAGCATGAGGCTCTGCCTCTAAAGAAAAAAAATATATAAAATATTTAAAACTTCTTAATGATAAATTTTTGTCATAAATAATGATAAATGCAAAAAAACTTTAAAAAGTAACGACTAGGAAAATACTTGCATGAGATTTGGCAGCTGAAGGCTCCATTTCTCTGACATACAAACACGGGAATCGGTCGGGGAGCTCTGCCGTGCTGCGCAGTGACCCAGACGCTCAGGCTCAGCTCGCACAGCTCACTCCCTGCTCACGAGCACAGCCCTCCCCGACCTGACGCCGCGTCTGGAGGCCTCCGGGGAGGGGACGGAGGCGGGCTGGTTCTGCTGCCCGGCCGGGAAGGCAGTGCACCGAGATACTCGGCAAGCAGGGTCTCTGCCACACGCCCCCATAAATTGGTTGGAAAAGAATCAAGCGGCCCAAGGACGTGACCCGGCCCGTCCGGGAAACGCGGAGGACGCTGGGCCTTGGTGGGGCAGGAGGAAGTGGGAAGCGCCGGGTGTCAGCGTCCCGGATGCCCCAGGTCTCGGCTCCCGAGCGCAGCTGCCAGGATCCAGGTGCGCGTCGGAAGGTGGAGGAAGCCGTGTCATCAGAGCTGAGCTGGTTCCCACCGTCCAACGCCGACCTGCTCCTCCAGGCAGTGCCTGGGCAGGGGCCACGGGCAGGGGCCACGGGAAGGAGCCACGGGCAAGAGTCACGGGAAGGGACCACGGGCAGGGGCCACGGGCGTGCTCGCTGCATGGACCCGGCGCTCCTCCTCCGGAGAACTCAGAGTCGGATGAAACATGAGTCAGAAAAGGGAAGAACGCTCCGTGCTTAGCGATGTAAACGGGGCCGTCCGGGTGCTGGCGACGTGAGTCAGCCGTGCAGACACTGTGCCATGTCTGACGGGAGGTGCATTTTGGGCAGACGGTTCACGCAGAGTCGCTGCTGCGTGTTGCTGGGCTGGCAGACGCGGCCCTGTGTGCATGTTCCGTGACGGCAGGACACACGTGCCTTGTCACAGAGCCACGCTGGACTCCGTCCCTGCGTGTGCTGCCCCAGCTCCGCCAGGAGCGCAGCTCGAGACCCCGAGCATACGCGACCTAGGGCGCTACGGCCCCAGCCGCGAGGGGAGCTTTCTGAGACCCGCGTCCTGCAGGTCTTGGGACGACCACCGCATCCTTCTCGCCGACCTTCTGCACACGCCAGCGCGGGACAGTTTCTGTCAGAGCAAAACGCTCAAGCGGGAGGGGAGCGAGCGGCAGACACCAGCAGGGAGACGCGAGGACTGGACCCCGAGGGCGGGCGGGTGCCCGGACCGCAGTGGCCACGCGCCGGCCTGGGCACGTGGGAGGAGGCCCACACGTAGGAAGCCGCGTTTGCGCATTTCTGCTTGAACCCCGACTCTGCGGCCGGGCGTGGTGGCGCACGTCCGTGACAAAACAGTCCCCATGTGTGTCACCTGTCACTGCGCTCCTCAGACCCCGGCCTTTCCCTCACGGAAGCTGACGTGTGATGGGTCAGTGATTCCGCCTCTATGGACGGTGACCAGGAGTGCTCTCGCGCCCAAGCCCTGGTGGGGGCCTGACAGGCGGGGGTAGTGTTGGGAGGTCAGAGGTCCTCAGTAGCAGGGGTCAGGCAGGCTCCAAGGAGCCACACACGGGATCCTCCCTGAGGGCTCCTCTCCCTCCTTCCTCCTTCCCCTCCTCCCTCCTCCTCCTCCCCCGCCCCCTCCTCCACTGCAGGGGCCGAGGACGACCTCTCGCTGCGCGCCGCGCTGTACGGGCTGCTCTTCCACACCCACGCCGACCAGGACGACTGGGAGGGGGGCCTCAGGGTGCTGGACGAGGCCGTGCAGATGCTGCCGCGGACGGCCCACCGCCTGTGAGTGGCCCCCGCCCTGCGCCGTCCGCCCACCGTCCCCACCCGGCCTCCCCACGGTGCGGTTCCCACCGCATGACTCTGTTTCCCAGCAAGAAGCCAGTGCAGGGAGGCGGGACGTGGCCCAGCGCGGAGGCCCAGCTGGCTCAGGCTGCACGTGGATTCGTCTCTGAGAGCGGGAAGGGCACGGGTCAGCTTTGCAGGCGTCGCGCGAACTTAAAATCTCATCGTTCGGTTCAGAAGTCGATCTCTCTCTTTCCCGTCCCTCAGCCTGATCTTCAAACACATGGTCATCGTGAAGGCCAGGCTGGGCCAGAACTTCACGATGGAGATGCAGAAGTTCAAGGACGAGAGCGAGCAGTACCTGGCGCACATGTGGCACCGCCTGGCCCTGAACTCGAGGAACGTCTACGGGGAGCTGACCTGCTACCACAATGCCATCCAGGCCTTGCAGGTGCGCGGTCAGCGTGGGGTCCTGTGGATGAACCGGCTCTGACCACGGACGGGGCCACACGGAGGGAAGCGCGGCAGCCGGGTGCAGCTCGCGCACTTGAGGAGGCCGCCTGGGTGGGCAGCGCAGGACGCACGGGCGAGGGGCGGCAGGGACCGCGTTGCTTTCGTTCCTGCCTTTCCATCCTGGGGCGACGTGGGCCTCGGCACTCAGCCGGGGCAGGGCGCAGGTGGGCGAAGCCCCACGGCCACGCCACGGCTTCCTGGCAGCCAGGGGGTCCACGTGGGCAGGGGCTGCCGCGTCTGGGATTTGGGGGTCTGGGGGCGTTTGCTCCTCCTGCAGGACAGATGTGCCCCGGTGTGCTCGGGGTGGTGTGGGGGGAGGGTGGCGGCTCCGTCCGTTGACTCGATGCCTTTGGTGACTCGAGCGAGGCCCATGCGGGGCCTGAGCACGTCATGGCGGGGACTAAGGGGGTGTCCCGGTCCTCTGCGCGGACAGGTGAGAACCTTCCATGTTGGTAAACGTCTCGAAGGGTTTTCTGTTGCGCTGTTTCTCCAGCTCCGAGCGAATCCTGCCACGAGGCCTTCTGATTTGTTCGGGGTCGGGGTGGCCCCCAGCACCAGGGTGACTGGACACGGGTCAGGAGGCTGCGCCGGTGCACACGTGGCTCCCGCGTTTGCCTCATGGGTGCGTGTCCCAGAGCGTCCCAGAGCACAGCGTGGCCAGCTCGGGGCCCGGCCTAGCCCCGCTGCCGGCAGCCGTTCCCTGTAGAGAAAGCCGGAGTCCCCCAGGGGGGCTGCTGAGCGGGGCTGCACTGAGCCACGCTGGGTCCCCCTTCGTGGCCAAAATCCGTGAGCGTTCCATCCTCACTGACCCCAAGCCCTCCCCTTCCTTTCTCTGCGTTTTGGTGAAACCACCGATGTTTTCAGTAGATTCTTGGGGTTAAATAATTGCTCATCAGCACAGTTAATTTTGGATCATTTTGTCACCCCCCCAGAAAAGCCGCGTCTGGCAGCGCCCATCCCCCCTTCCACCCTCCACCGGCCCCAGGCGTCTCTGCTCTGCTCTCTGCCTGCGCCGGATGCTGGCGCGGAGGGAGTCACGTGACGTGTGTCCTCTGTGGCCGGCGCCTTTCACTGGGCGAGACGTCTCCAGGGCCCGTCCCACCGAGGCTCGGTCTGTCCTTCCTGCCTCTGCGGCCGAAGGAGAGTCCATCGTGTGTGTGTTCTGTCGATCGCTGGGCCTTCCTGCCGGTTTCCGGCTCCTGCCCACTGTGGCTGACGTGCCGTGAACGGTTTACGGGGTTTTGGGTGGACACCCTCCGTCCCCGTGGGCACGTGCCCAGGAGCAGAGCTGTCAGGCGCAGGGCGTCGCTGTTCAGCTGCGCGAGGAAGCGCCGGACGTTCCCCAAGTGGCTGCGCCGCTGCGTCCCCGGGCGGCCCTTGCACGTCCGCCCCGCGCTGGCTGGTCCGAGCCACCGAGGGTGTCGGAGGCGTCTCCGGCGTTTCCCTGGTGACCGATGAAGTCGAGCAGCTTTTCGCGGCTCGTGGGCCGTTCGCAGGTCCTCAGGGAAACGTCTCTTCAGGCCCTTTGCCACGTTTTGTGGCTGGTTCCGAGAGTCCTGGAGGACTCTCCCCTCCCTCGCACCCCTGGTTTCCAGGCACCGCCACCCGCCGACTGGGCCCCCTCCTCGCCTCCTTCCTGAGGGGGGAGCTGAGCGAAGGGCTCGGACCCCCCTTGCCAAGACCCTCACGCCCTTGAGATCGGACGTCACCCAGCGTGCCGAGCAGACGCCACCCCCAGGCTGCCCTCCCCACACGTCCTGCTGCCCGACTGACCCTTCATCCCACCAGCCCTGTCCCCAGAATCAGACCCCACACCCTGCGCCCCACGGTGACACCTGCACCCCCCACCTGCCCTTCAGCACACTCCACCATCGGCTCCTCCCCCAGACGCATCCCGCCGGCGCCGCTCCCTGCAGCCTGGTCCCCGTGGCTGTCCCCCGCGCGCAGCAGACACACGTCCTCCTGTCCCCCAGCCGTGCTCCACAGAGCGGCTCCGGCCCCATCCGGGTGGGGTCCCTGGCTCTGGCCGTGGCGCCCTGGCCTGGCCCTGTGGCATCTGGATCCTGCTCCCCACCCAGCCGGCACTGCCCACCCTCGCCCTGGGGCCTCTGCGTCCTGCCTGGAGCCTGCTCTCCCGCCGGGGACCCTCCCCCCAGCCTGTGGCAGAGGCCCGTGTGGGGCAGTTTGCGAGAGAGGGACACGTGCTGGATGGGCGCCTGGGGCAGCCTCATGCAATTGGCGCTATCGAGGCCCAACCCCCGCCAGTGCCCGGCACCAGCGCAGCGGGAGGCCCCGTCCCTCCTGCCGCCCTGGGCCCCAGTCCTGACGTCTGGCACCCGCCTCTCCTGGCCTTTGTGCCGGGGGACCCTCCCCGCCCGACTGTCATTCTGTGGCGCGTCTGCGCTCTGAGCCACGCTGGGATGCGAGTCCCGTGGTGGCAGATGCCCCCGAGCGCCTGGCAGAGTCAGCCCCACGGGCACTCGCAGAACGAACGGCGGGCGCGGGCGAGCGCTGGGAGAGCTGCGGCGTCCGGTGTTTGGCAGCAGAACTGGGGCGGCGACGTCTGCTGGTGGGAGCGTAGGAGACGCGGGGGTGGGGTCGGTCCGGCAGCTCCGTCTCCGGAGCCGCGCTTGGGCGCGACTGTGGCCGAGTCTGTGCCGGGCTGCGGCTGGGCCCGCCCTGCCCTGCGGGGGCCCCCGCCCCAGCGGGAGACGGGGGTGACGGCACGGAAAAAGCCACGTGCAGATGGGGGCGGCGTCTCCAGGGAGCCCCTCGCATCCCTCTGCCGCGGGAGGGAGGCGTGGGCGCCTCGGGCGCTGCGGGGCTGGCAGGGGCGGGGCGTCCACACTGGGAAGTTTGCCGAGCTCTCGTCCTCCTAGGCGCTGCATGTGCCGACGCCCCTCCCTTGCCCACACCGGGGACATCTCGGGAGCCTTGGAGGCACAAGCAGTCTCCCCGGGGGTGGTTTCGGTAAACACGGGGTGAAAAGGAACCAGCGAGCCCGCTTGGTGCCGTAATAGCTTCTGCAGCTCGGTGCTGAGGGCACGCCCGGTCTCTGTCTAACCCACAGAAGCCGCAGAGCGCGTGGCAGAAGGTGGACTGCGTCCTGGAGTTCAGCGAGTGGCTGTACCACAGGCAGTTCCCTCTGGAGGACGTGGTCTTCCACCTGCGGTGGGCGATCGGCATCCTGCTGGCGATGAGGCCCCCCCAGGCCGCCCCTGAGCCGGAGCCCCAGCCGGAGGGTGAGCAGACGCCCGCCAGGGCGCCGACCCCACGCGGCCCTGAGTGGTCTGTGGCGGCCGATCCGCTCTTACTCGGAGATCTCGGCCTCTGCCTGCAAACCGCGTTCCGGCAGCTCGTCCCCAGGAAACGCCGCGTGTGGGCCTGGGGAGACCGAGAGCCCTGATGCAGGGGAGGGGCGTCGGGCACCGCTCGCGCCAGCATCAGTCCCCGTGGCAGAGAACCTCGCCCAGACCAAGCGCAGGGCTCATCCTCCCAGATGTGTCCGGCCCGGCCAGAGGCCCCTTCCTGCCCCAGGCCCCTCGGAGGGTCTCACAGACCGCTGCAGATGCGCCGGAGCTCACGTCTTGCTCTCTCATCATTGGGCCCGGACCCCAGGGCCTGCGCAGGCAGCGGGTGGGCGCGGGGCTCGAGCAGCCTGGCTGTGCCCAGGGCAGAGGCTCTGTCGGGGGACAGGAGCAGCCCGCCCGGCTCAGGGATGGACACGGCGTCCGGGAAACAGCGCAGTGGGCAGCGGGCCCCCTGCAGCCAGCCCAGGGGTGCCCACACCCGGGAGGTGAGGGGTGACAGACCCCTCGGCGGGCCCTCTGGTCCCCACCCCTCCACCAGAGAGGAGGAAGGGCCAGCGAGGTGTTGCGGCAGCAGAGGGCGTGGGGTCAGCCGGCCCAGGCCAGGCTCTGGGGCTTGTCTAGGCTGGTGCTGCGGCACCCCCGCCAGGGAGGGCACGGCCAGGAGCGCGTGAGAGAGGAGCACGTGGGCCCGTCCATCAGCGTCCAGCCCACGAGTCTGGGGACACGATGCTCCGCTGAGACCCTGCGCGGGCCCTGCGGTCGGCACGGCGCCGGGCACATCCCGAGGGCCCATCGCCAGGGCCCGGCACAGGGCAGGCTGTGGGGTGGGGGTGGGGGCGGGCGCGGCCGGGCCGCCACACCCCACGTCGGTACCGGCTCTCAGCCGCGGGCACCTGTTCCACAGAGGAGCACGAGACGGTTCAGACGCCGCCCGAAAGTCCAGCCCCCAAGGACGCGGCGATGGTGTCCCTGGAGAGGCTGCGCAGCGTGCGGCAGCTGGAGACGCTGGCCCGCGCCTACATCCTGCTGGCGCTGATGGTGTCGCCCGCCGACGCCGGCTACGCGGACTACGGCCTGGTGGCCTACGTGCTCCTCAGACACATCTGGCAGGTGGGACCGGAATCCGGGGCTCGGGGGGGCTGCGGGGCAAGTGTTAAAGGAATCGGAGCCTTTCCGGAAACTTCCTAAAGACCTTCAGCATAGGAGCAAGTTTCTCTCCTGTGACATTCGCGTTTTTCCTATTGAATCGCTCCCATCGGCATCAAAAACAAACGAACTCCGTCTTGGCTCCCCCTACCTGGGCTCCCCCCGCACGCCCGGAGCACCCCGAGAGGGGCTCACTGCCCCCTCCTCCTCCCGACCCCCCCCGGACCGGGGCCACCCCCTCCCCAGCTGTCCCCCCAGGTCGCCAGGCCGAGCGCACAGACCGGGCCGCGCGGCAGGCCCTGAGCCGCCACTCACTGGGCTTCCATGGCCTTCCTGTTTCCCCTCCGCCCCGCCCTGGGCACAGCCAGGCCCCTCCCGCCAGCTCCGCCCGTGGGGCCCTTCGGTAGCTCTCGCGGTCTCTGGCCCTGCGCACCTGTCCAGGTCTGCGGACCGCGCGTCCCTGCAGGGCAGCGTCGGCCATGACAGGCCTTTCTCCCACCAAATTATGCAAACGTTAATTAGAGACCCTAAATGAAGTCACTGTGGCCTGGCGCATTCTCCTTGAGGATAAGTGGTGACGGCCCCTCAGGACGCACGTGGGGTGGAGAGGGGCTGCCGCACGCGCCTCCCCTGGGGTCCCTGCCCGGGCCCCTCCACCGCCAGGGCGCGCTGCAGCCATGGCGTGGGTTCGCCAGCAGGAACCCCAACTGCCGATGTCCCGCGAAATCCCTGCCGGTGACGTGTGGGCCGAGTGTCACCCGCGGGTCCCCACGCGCCCTGGGCCAGCCGCTCTCTGCTCTGAGGGGCCTCCCCAGCCTTGCCCAGGGCCGGCGGCGGACGTGAGGGTCCCGGACGCCCTCGCTCTGCGGCAGCCTCCACCAGGTGCAGGAGCGGGGCGCAAAGGTCTGTGCTCACTGCTCAAGTCTGCATTTCGGTTATCCCAAGGTTTCTCTGACGACAGCAGGAAAATTAATCCCAGAGAATAAAATTCCTGCGGCGGCGAGCTCGTTGTTGTTGCTGCCTAAAAAAGAAAAGGAGAAAAGTAAAGAAAAGGAGAAGCCCACGGAGAGGGAGAGGCACAAAGAGAAGGAGAAGCCGCGCGAGAAGGAGGAAAAGGGGGGCAAGGAGGCCAAGCAGGTGCGTCCCGGGAGGGCGGGGCCAGGCCCTGGTCTCCTCTGCTGGCGGCTTCCTCCGGGGACAGCGCCAGGGAATGTCTGTATCGTGCCCGGCCTTGCCCTGGCGGGAATCCCAGGCCCGCTGCAAGGCCCTTTCCCGTGCGGTTTGCACAAAGCCGCCGCCCCGGGTCTGGGGGCTCAGAGGCCGTTGGCAGCTGGCGGGGTGTGTCCCTGGCGTGAGGGCCGCGTCCCGGAGCAGTGAGAAGGCGGTATCCGCATGCCGTGAAACCTCCACCCTGGAGACGTTGCTTCTCCCAGAGCCACCGCAGTCTGAGAAACCGCCACCCTGGGGCCCCGCGTGGGCGGCGGCCGAGCTCCCTGGCGGTGTCCGGCCTCAGCGCTTGCAGGTCCCCAGCCCAGGCTCCCGCGGGCGGACTCTGGCTGCACAAGGGGCAGGAAGCATCACTTTGCTCAGACGGTGTCCGGAGCCGTATCCGGGGATAGAATTGGACGTGGCCCGCTGCCCGCCGGGGCTGAGGGTGGCAGCGGTGCCGTCTTCCCAATTCTTGCTGCACCGGGGCGCACGTTTCACACCAGCTTTGTAAAGCGAAACCTGCCTTCTCGCCTCACAGCACCTTCCCGGCAAGGGACCCGAAGGGCCACCAGCGAGTGTGGAAGAGTGGGCGTCCTACGCCTGCCCCGCGGAGGTGCTGTTGGTGTTCAGACAGGACAGAAGCGACTTTACCGTCAACTCAGCGAGCATCCAGAAGCCGGTGAGTCGGGGTCGGGAAATCCTCAGAGGCCTCGGTCCCGCGGCCCCACACGCCCAGGGCCATGCGCCCCCAGCTCGCAGCGTGACCTGTGACCAGAGAGAGACGCAAGGCCGGGGCTGAGCCTGGAACCATCGGATGGGGACACGCCAACCCCGGGCCCCACCCCGCGCGGCTCTGTCCCAGCAGCGCTGTGTCGCGGAGGCGCCTCCCTCCTGCCCTCGCGAGCACCTGCACGCGGCAGCCGCGCTGTGGTCGGTGACCTGCCGTGACAGGTTCCCACAGACTGCGCCGTCGAAACAGCAGAAATTTACCCTCTCACAGCCCTGGCGGCCAGAAAGCCAAAACCCGGGTGTCGGCAGGGCCACCCCCTCCAGAGGCTCCAGGAAGAAACTCCCAGCCTCCTCCCACCCACTGGCTCCGCCTCTGGCCACGCGGCCTTCTCTGCAGGCACGTCCAGGCCCCCACGAGTGCCCACGTGGTCACGTTTAGGCCCCTGGGAGTCCAGGGCCGTCTCCCCCCTCGAGGTCCTCATCTCAGCCACGTCTGCGGGTCTTTTTGTGCCCTGCAAGGTCGAACACGCAGTGCCAGGAGGACCTGGCAGCTTCAGGGCCTTTGCTCAGCCCATGGCTCTGCGCCTGGTCTCGTGCTTTGCGAGAGCGGAACTGTTCCGTGTTCCTCCTTGTGGTCTGGCTTCCGCCCTCAGCATGAAGTCCGCAGGGTCTGCCGTGCTGCTCTGCGCGCTGGAGTCCGTTTCTGTCCTTTGCCGTAGAGTCTTCCGCGGCTCGGACCGGCCACAGTTTATGTGTCCCCCGTGGACAGACGTGCAAGTTGCATCCAGTTCACGGCGGTTCCGAAGGAAGCATCCATGAATGGACCCGAGTCCCGTGCTGGGGACGCCGGCCGGCAGGGTTTCTGGGTTGGAGAGCGTGTGTCTGTCTGTCACCAGATTGCTCCAGAGCGGTGGCACCAGGTCACAGCCTTATCCTCAGCGGCTGAGCGGCCCTGCTGTCCCCACCCTGGCCAGCCGCGTGGCGTCCCCCTCCGTCCTTTGGGCCTTGGCCAGGCACCTCGCGGCGGCTAACTGCCCCCGTCCGACACCGCCCTGCGCTTCCCGGGCATTTGCACGTCCTCTTTCGAGATGCTCCGTCCGCTCTGCTGCCCGTGCTTTGCTGAGCGTCCTGTCTTCCCTGCTGCCATGGAGGGATGCTCTGTTCTGGAGAGAGCGCTGGGACAGCAGTGTGACCAGCGGGTCTGCTCGCACCTGTGCCGTCAGTTAACGGGTCTTTCCCTGAGTAGGGATCAGTCGTGTTAACGCAGTCAGCGATTAACCTGTTCCTTCGCGATCAGTGCTTTTTCGCGTCCTGTTCTTTTAAAAAATGTTTCCTTTTCTGGAGGCCACGCAGATGCTCGTCCATGATATTTCACGTTCCGGCCGGCAGATTTGGGCCCGCAGCGGCCCCAAGCCTGCCGTGTGTGTCACCTCCCCGGGCCCTGGCCGTGCATCCTGCGTCCCCCATGCGTGGTCCTGCGCCGGGCTCTCTGGTTTTCCATCCGTGGGTCTGTCCTTGCAGCAGCAGCGGCTGTCTCAACTGCCGAGCTCCGGCATCTTGAGCATTTGGTGGAGAAAGTCCCCTGTGCTCGGTGCAGGGAAGGATGGAGTTCTTAGGAGAAGGACGCTTCAGCTCGCGGGCTGACGCTCTTCCCCTCCTGTGGCCTCAGGGTTTGTCGTGTCTCTGTGCAGACGTACACCTTGTATTACCTGGACCGCTTGGTCACCATCCTGCAGAAGATGTCCCTTCATGAGCTCACGGTCCCCGTCCTGCAGCTGGGAGTCCTGATTGCAGACGCCGTGGTGGAAAGCAAGAGCCTCGCGGACCTCTACCACCTCCGGTTGGTACTTGCGCTCCATTTCCAAGGAGGTGTTTAAGGGCTTAGAGTGAAAATTTCCCTAAAGCAACATAAAAACAAGTGGCATTTTAAAATATTAGTTCTATCCTTGATTATTCTGTGAATAATAAGATCCCTAAGATTTATAAGCCACGTAAATCAAAATAATTGAATTACAATGGTATTTTTATTTTAAAATTCCTGCATGATCCTCAAGAGAATGTTCTTGTCTTAAGGAAACACACTGATCGCAAAGCAGTATCCCTGGGAACACGGTGGGTTCAGTCCCACGACAAAGTGAATATCACAGTAGAGTAAGTCACACAGAGTGTTTGGTGTGCACATATAGTTTATGTTTACACCAAACTTCAGTCTATTAAGTGTGCGAATGCATTAGTTTGAAAAATTGTACCTACCTTAATTTAAAAATACTTTATTGCTAAAACATGCTAGCAATTTCTTAAAATAAGACAAGAGCGACGTCTGCCACAGTGATCGCCTCCTCCTGTCACGGATGATTTCTCTGCGCCGTGAGATGCTGTTCCACAGCCCTTTACCCGGAGCAGGTCTTCTCTTAAAACTGGAGTCGAACCTTTCGAACTCTCTTGCTGCTTTATCGACAAAATGTGTAGAATATTCTAAATCATTTTTGTCGTTTCAACAACATTCATGGCTGCTTCCCCAGGAGTAGGTTCCAGCTCAAAAAACCGCTTTGCTCATCCATAAGAGGCAACTCCTCACCTGTTCACGTCTGTCCTGAGACCGCAGCGGTTCAGCCCCATCCTCAGGCGCCACTTCTCGCCCCGGCTCTCTTGCTGTTTCCACCACATCTGCAGCGACTTCCTCCACTGAGGTCTTGAACCCATCAAAGTCCTCCATGAGGGTTGGAATCCACTTCTTCCCAACGCCTGTACATGTTGACAGTTTGACCTCCTCCCACGAATCACGAATGTTCTTAGTGGCGTCTAGAATGGTGAGTCCTTTCCAGGAGGTTTTCAACTTACTTCACCCAGATCCATCAGAGGAATCACTACCTATGGCAGCCATAGCTTTAGAAATTGTATTTCTGAAATAGTAAGACTTGAAAGTCAAAATCACTCCTTGCTCCATGGGCTGCGGAATGGGTGTTGCGTTGGCAGACACGAAAACCACATTCATCTCCGTGTACGTCTCCATCAGAGCTCTGGGCTGACCTGGTGCATTGTCAGTGGGCAATAATATTTTGAAAGGAATCTTTTTTCTGAGCAACAGGTCTCAACAGTGGGCTTGAAACGTTCAGTAAACCATGCTGTGAACAGAGCAGCTGTCTCCAGGCTTGGCGGTTCCCCTTACAGAGCGCAGGCAGAGCAGAGTTAGCATCATGCTTAAGGGCCCTGGGAACTTCAGGATGGTCAACGAGCACTGGCTTCAACTCGAAGTCACGGCTGCATCAGCCCCTAACGGGAGAGTTCAGCCTGTCCTTTGGAGCTTTGAAGCCAGGCACTGACTTCTCCTCTCGAGCCATGACAGTCCTGGGTGGCGTCTTCTTCCGACGGGAGGCCGTTCCGTCTGCGCTGAGGATGAGCCGTTGGCATGGCCGCCTGCATCAGGGGTCTCCTGGGAAACTGGCTGCAGCGTCTCCAGCAGCACCTGCTGCCGCACTCGTGCTGTCATGCTGTGGAGACGGCTCCTTCCCTCGAGCCTCACGAACCGACCTCTGCTGGCTCCAAACTCTCCTCTGCAGCTTCCTCACCTCTCTCAGCCTCCGGAGAACTGAAGGGTCGGGGCCTTGCTCTGGACCAGGCTTTGGCCTGAGGGCACGTGGTGTCTGGTTTGATCTTCCGTCCAGACCACTCGACCTTTGTCCACGTCAGCAACGAGGCTGTTTCACTTTCTCATCGCTCGGTGTTCACTGGAGCTGCACCGTGGTCTCCTTCCAGAACTTCTCCTTTGCACGCACAGCCTGCTGTCGGAGCAGGAGGCCCAGCTTTGGCCTGTCTTGGCCTTCGACATGTCTTCCTCACTAAGCGCGATCATTTCTAGCTTTTGATTTCAAGGAGGGACGTGTGCCTCTTCCACTTGCACACCAAGAGGCCACGTGGGCCACTAATTTGCCATGTCTCGGGGAATGGGGGGGCCCAGGGAGCGGGAGGGAGGCAGGGAGCAGTCAGACATGCATTAATCGGGGAGGTTCGCTGTCCCGTACACGCGCAGTTGTGGTGCCCCGAACAATGACAATTGTGTCATCAAAGACCACGGATTGCAGGTCACCGCAACAGACGTGAGAATAGTGAAAATGCTTGAAATTTTGTGAGAATTACCAAAAGGTGGCCCAGAGACACCAGGTGGGCACAGGTCGAGCAAGCCCAGCTCCTCTAGCACAGTGGCGTGAAGTGCGGCAAAAGCAGGCTCCTGTGCCCACGGGTGTTCCGGGGAGGCCGCGAGTCGTGTCTTCCGCTTGCCGTCAGCGAGAACGGCAGTGCGGGTGGCAGGTCACGTGCAAGGTCTAGGTGGAGCTTGGCGGCGGCTCTGTGCAGCGTCAGCCTTCCTGTGAGCTGGAACTCACCTTGAAATAAAATGCCTAAGTGACGTCACAGCGGAGCGTCTCTCCCGAAGGTGAGTGGGAGGTCCGAGCCCACCTGCCGGGCCCGCTCTCACCTGCAGCCGCCCGGAGACGGAGAGCAAGGCCAGGTGAGACACGTGGAACAGAAAACGCCTGAAAGTCGATAGCGCTACCTGGTGTCATTTTGTGTAGCTTTAAAAATTGTCGAAAGCGTCCTCAAGGTGTGGGCTTATTTCTGCTTCACGGGTCACGTGCAGCGCGCGAGGCCTGTGTGACTCTGGCCCGTGTGACGGCGTCTCCACCCCCCGCCCAGACTCGCCCTGGTGTGTTCCGAGCTGAAGCTGAGGGAAGCAGCCGCCTACCACGAGGAGGCCGTGGGGCCCGTGTACATCGGGGACCTGGAGCAGGCGAGGTGGGTCCCGTGTCCACGCGTGGCGCTGGCCCAGGGTCCCAGGCCCCTTTGGGCGTGGTGCCAGGGGAAGCAAAGGCCGCCGCTGCCCTGAGCCCCTGCACCGCCAGGCTGTGGGGGAAGGGCCTGGGGCCTCCTGACAGCAGGGCCTGGGGGCACGACGGCTGGGGACGGTGTCTGCGGGGGACGGTGTCTGCAGGGGACAGTGTCTGGGCAGCACGGTGCCTGGAGGGTGGTGTGGTGCCTGGGCAGCCAGTTGTGTCTTACTGCGTGGCAGCACGGAGCGGGGCAAAGGCCCTGAGGGAGGGGTCCGTGTGGGGCCAGGTGGGCCAGTGGCCCCGAGATGGGCAGCCCCGCGTGAGTCTGTTGAAGTCTTGGGTCCTACAGGGCGACCGCTCTGGACGTGGCGTAGCGACGGTGGGCTCTGGGGTTAGTGGCACGGGAGACGCGGGGCCAGGCGGTCACACCCGAGACCGCTGGGGAGGCGGAGCCTTGTGGCTGGTGCCGCGCTGGGGAGGAGCCCCGCCTGTCTGGAGGGGGCGCCGGCGGGGTCATGGCGGGTGGGCGGCCAGGGGAGCCGTGGTCTGGGCACGTGGACGAGTCTGCAACACCTGAGTCAGGCTGGACGTGTGAGGCTGGAGTCGGGAAGACAGAACAGGCTACGGGCATGAATTTGGGAGTCAGATGTGCTGCTAAATATTGATTCCTTTTAAATCTTCCTAAACACGAGCACATCATGGCTTATCGTAGCCATTTTAATTGGTATTTCTTTGATTACCGATGGAATTTACGTTTTCCTGTGTTTATTGGCCGTCGCACTTCTCTTGCTCATCGTCTGTTTTATCAGCTGCAGAAAAGAGATCGCACTGAAGAGAGAGAAAAACCGGGGCCCCGTGCTGGAGGAAGACCTGCCGGCGCCGAGCGAGCAGGCGCCTCCCGCCCCCCGGGCCAGGGTGAAGCCGCAGGTGGCGAAGGACCAGGTAACACACCTGTGGCCCGGCAGTGCCAGCGCCTCGGCTGCCGTGCGAGATGGCAGCTGGAGCCAGAGGATGGAATTTGTTAAGCGCCTACTGCATACATTACTCTCGTGCCGGATGCGGCAGGCGATCCAGAGACCACTCAGGGATGTCCCCTCCCTGGGGATCCCTGGGATCTCCCCGTGTGCACGGCAGGCCACATGGAACGGGCGGGAGCAGAGACGGAGAGGAGTCGGCTGGGGGGTTGTGGGGGGGTCCTGGTGGAGCAGCGCATGTCGCCGGGAAGCCCCCCGGGCGAGGCTGGCCTGGAGGGTCCCGTCACCCGACTGGTCACAGGCTGTCCCTCCAGACTGGGGCCTCATCACCAGGCCACGTTTCCCTTTGCGGGTTTGCCCGTAAAGCAAGGTGACTGCGCAGCCGCCACGCTCCTGACCGAGGGGCAGCAGCACCGCGGGCGCCAGGCGTGGACGCCCTTCAGGAGCCTGCGGGAGTCGAGGCTCCTGCGTAGGGCGGGACTCAGCCTGGCACTGGCTGAGGGTCAGGTGAAGGCACCTCATGGCCCGTCCCAGGCTGGCGGGGGGGCTGCCCACACACGAGGGGCCGGCACGGGGGCGCCCACGGACCAGGGCTGGCGGCTGCCTCAGAGAGCGCGAACCGGCTCCTGCGCCCCGGCGTAGGGCGTCCAGGGTGGACGGCATCTGTCAGAAAGGGCAGCAGCCTGAGCCTGAGCGCCGGGGCCGTGGCCCACAAGGCGCCCCAGTTCCCGGTGCTGCTGGGAAGCCCTCGGTGGAAGGCGGCTTTCTGGGCACACGCTCCTGCCACGTCCTGCCTCCGTGGCCAGAGCCCGTCCCGCAGGACGCAGATGCCAGGACGGTGCCGTGTCTCGCAGATCCTGAAGATGAACACGGAGACCGGCAGGGGCCTGGACGGGGCGGCCTTCCCCCAGCTGTGGGCGCTCAAAGGGGAGGTCCTGCTGCAGATGCACCTGTTCCAGCCCGCGCGGCTGCTGCTGGCGGAGGCGCTCGGGGCTTTCCAGGTAAGGCGCCTCCCACCCGCAGCCGCCAGCGCGGCTCCCTCTTCCCCTGCGCCGCCGAGACCCCCCCTCCCCCCACAGCTCGTTTCCCATGTTCGGCTCTGGGAGACCCTGTGGTTCTCTGTGAGGTGCTTTGACGTTCGTTCTGCTCCAGTAACCGCCGCGGGTCTCTCTGCCGCCCGCCGTGTGCTTCCCGCCGATGTCAGTGGTTCGGTCTTGAGTTTTCACTCTCTGACGTGTGTGGGGATGAGAACTCGGAGGCCCCCAGACGGCGTCTTTGGCCAGAGGTCGGCTGGCTCTGGAAGGCAGGCTGTGCGCAGGTGGCCTGGGTCCAGTCTTGTCTTTGTTAGTTTTGTTCTCGCTCCCTGGATGTGGACCCGACCGGGCTCCCACGGCAGCCCTGCTGTGCTCCCCGGCTCTGTCCCCCACGCGGGTGACAGCCCTCAGGCCCGATCCAGGAGGGACAAGGCCCACTGGCACTTCTATACGACCCAGGATTGTAGCTCCCATGTCCTGCCAACGCCAACTGCCCTCCTCACGCAGGGCTGAGTCTTTGTCCAGATTCCAGAGTCGCTGTCGCTGGGAGGGCAAAGCTACAGCCTCAGACAGCCTGTCACCTGTTTCCAGGACAAATTCCAGGAAAAGAGAAGGACTAGTAATGGTGTGAAAATTCAGTGACAGCCATCACAGCCTTGTGAGGCTGGAGTCCGTCTCGGCAGTGAGGACAGGTATACACAGGTCTCAGGCAGGGGGACAGGTG